GAAAGCCGGGCGGCTTTCGTGAAAGGTGGGCGGCTTTCGGGCCTGTAGCTCGAAAACAGTCCCCAACAATGGCGGTTTTCCGGCGGTTTCGACTCCTATCGATTCCACAACTCTTCTAAGTTAATTACCACCATTCTATATCAATATTCTACACTTTTAAACGTGTAGAACATCATGTTTAATCCACCATATGATCTATTAAAAATCATACACAAATAACTAGCTAAAGAAATGGTTGTGTTCTTACCTTTCTTCTAGCTAAATTCCTCTTGGATTTTCCTAGCTTCTTTCTCCCTCCAACATAGTCTTTGAGAGCCTTGGTTCTCCTTGGACTTCCCTTCTAGCTGATTCGTATGGTTCAAGAATGGAGGAGGGAGGATATTATCTCAAATGAATGTTGAGAAGTGATGGGAGGTGTGGTTTGTCCTCAACCATCCTCACATTTGTTTGTCCGCACAGCCACATGTGTTTGCCCCTCTCCAGCTCTTACTAAGTCAACTAGGGTGCAAAAAAAACGTGGGGTGGCCCCCACTTATGTGGGAGGTCATCCCATTATGTCCCGGTGTGTACAATCGGCCCCGAAAGTTGTATTTCTCGGCCCGTTTTAATCATATTTTATTTGATCGGACCAAATAAAATATATCACGTGTTCCTAATAATTATGGGCCTTGAGAAAAGATGTATATTCCCCATCATTAATTTAGGAGCCTCCAAAACTCTTTTCGGGCTGTTATCCGTTAAATTGCCAATACCGGCAATTGGGCCCCGTTTGACCAACCGGTCAACTCCATGCCCTTTTTATGGCCCAAATAAAATATCTACCACCATATAGATGTCATCTAGACTAAGATGAATATAACATGTGGTTCGGAAATTATCGGGCGGCCCCCGCTCCCGTTGTGGATCCCACATGCAATTTACTATTCACGTAAAAGAAATAACAAAATTTAACAATTACGTAAATTCATAAATCATCTTTCAAGGTTTATTACATAATTTACTAAAAGGAAATATGCTTGGGGGACGGTGCTACATCCTGACCTGGATGATGGGGTCGCCTCGCCCTTCGGCCAACTCCCTCTCCAGGGCGCTGACCTTGTTCATGAGAGCGTTGAGGCCGGGGTCGTTTGAGGCGCCAGCCGTGGGGTTGTTGGCCGATTGCCTGGCCTCCATCTGAGCCAGCCTCCTCTCCAGCTGGGCGATGACCTCGTCCCGGGGGTCCCTGGCGGCCACAGTGGCGCCCTGCTGGTTTCTCATGCGCTCGTCGTGAGCCGCATTGATCTGGTGGCGCACGTCGTCCTCGTGCAGCTTCCCCTTCCCCTTGTCGGGGCGGGGCTGGTCCGCTGTCTGGGACACAAACCCCAAGCTTTCCCTTGGCGAGCCTGGCCGACGCTCACCAATCCGCCCTGCCATCCTCTCTGAACCCGGACGACGACGCGTGTCACCTAGCCTATGGAAGGCAGAGGCTTTTCCACGCGCTGGGGTCTGCCCAGGCCGAAGAGGGGAAGCGAGGTGGGAGTGGGACGACGCCGTGTCCTGGGCCATCACCCCCTCATCGTTGCCTATCTGGACGGCCAACGGTTGGGGCTGAGGAGGTGGAGTGACGTTCCCCTCGGTCCTTGGCAAGAGTGCGCTGAGGACGGTGGGGTTCTGGGCCAGGCTGGCGATGATGACCGACAGCGCGGCCTGGACCTGTGGATCCACAGTCGGAGAGGCCGCGGCCATAGGCTGGGCCGGGGCATGGTCCGTCTTCTCAGCTCGTTTCTTGTCCAAGCCGATGCGGGCATCAGGGGCTCCGCCGTTGAGTTGGTTGCGGAGGTCCGTTGTGAGGTTGAAGGCCTCCTGGAAGACGTCCCCTCCGCCGGCCTGGTCGGCCGTAACATCCTCCTCGTGCTCCCTGGTCTCCTGGTCCTCAGGGATGGCCTTGCTGACGAGGTTGCGGTTTGATTTAGTTCTTCCCATGATCAGTGGTTAGCTGTGCTTGGTAGCGACGAAGGGTGCTAACTTGATTGTTCTAGCTCTCAATGAAAGCACCAAATGATAGAGTATATCTAGAGAGAAGTGAGAGCTAGAGAGAGAAGTGCAATAATATGCTTCAATAGAATGAATTTGTAACCCTGATAACTACCTCCAGAGGAAGTATTTATAGGAAAAATACGGGCTGGGCTCCCAAGCCTTGGGCTTGGGAGGCCCATCTACAACTGGACCGCTACTGGGCCGAATACAAAGCCACTAATGGGCTGTACAAATGAGTAAGTGTGAAATCCGGTTCTGTGAGGTCTTCGTGGCCGACGAGGGCGGGGCCGACGAGGGCACGACCGACGAGGACGCGGCTGACGGGGGGCACCCGGGTTCCTCGGATTCAGGACCATATTCTGAGTGGTACCTCTCCGGCTGACGGGGGTCCCATGACCGACGAGGGCACCACTCAGTGTTATGCTTTCTGTTCTTCTGAGTATGTGGGTCCTGGAGCTCAGACCCATATACTCCATCATGTATATATACTTATAACTAGCAACAAATTAAAACCATAGAATTTAGTCTTCTAATTGATTAGTTTTGTAATTTGAGATATTACTTGTGATCATGTACCATAACTACTAAGTTTATCTATCAAAAGCATCTAATTAAGAGCATGTGGGAACATGCTTGCCCATGTCTAACTATAAGTTTTTTAATGTGTAATTTGAGTTTGCACACCATTTTATTGTCCAAATTGATCTTTGCACCTCATTTTCAAAAATCTTTGTATTTACATCTCAATCTTGTATGAGAAGACAAAAATGTCCCTCTATAAACAAATTTGTTGGCATTTTTGTCTTCTTATATGGGATTGGGTGCAAATAAAAAGATTTTTACGTTTGATTAGAGAGTTATGAGACTTTTGGATTGTTACGAGTCTAGTAGGGATAGAGAAGTTGATGTCAGAAGTTGATGTTAGAGTTTCATTCAAAAAAGAAAGAAATGCCTTTTGGCTTAGATATTAATGGGATAAAAGACAAAATAGTACTCTGTTTTTAAGAATTCAAAAAATGTGACCAACCAAAGTAACTTCGGTCAAAGTGACTCCACCGCCACATTAACTGTCCTACGTCCACAGTGATTGTCCTACCGATCACAGTGACCGCTCTACCGATCACAGTGACCGCTCTACCGGCCACAGTGATTGTCTTGACGGCTAGAGTGACTGCCCACCGGCCAGTGATTGCCCAACGGGCACAGTGACACGCCCTCTCCGTGTCAGGATCACCGCTGCCCCACTGCTGCATCACCACGCTACCACTCTCTAGTCTCTACCACGTCACAACCCCATCCCCAATACCCTTCACAGCCAGCCCCAGCCCCTCCCCTCCCTGTCACAGCCCCACAACTAGACCGATGAGCCGACAACCCGGCCCCCACACCCAGCCCTCGCACACCCAACAACCAACACCGATGACAACTCAGCCGTCAGCCAAATCCAATCACCTCGCCCTCAACCAGATGACATCGTCGACGTCCAATCTCCATCATCCACCGCCACAGATAGAAATCGCCACCAAATCACCGGTTAGAAAAACGAGAAGAAGGAGAAGAACGGCAGAAATTGAGGATGATGGCGAGCAGCATACAAGGAGAGAGATCGGTTAAGGAGATGGTGGGAGGTGGACGGACGTCGTGAATCGTGTGGCGGCACGGCGCAGGTCGTGGGCGGCAGAGTGAAGACCATCGGTGGAAGTTTGAAGGCCTGAGAACTGAGATGAGAGAGAGACGTAAGCTGAGATCGGGTGAGTCGTGAGTGACCTTTGTAAATTAAATCATATTTTGGAAAAGTTAAAATAGGTCATATTTTTATCAACCATGCTTGGTGTACACACTCTTGTACACACCTTATACACACCATGTTTGTGAAGCTTTTTTTTTGTCTGTGAACCCGGTTCACAGACAATATTTTGTTTGTGCAAAACATTGTCTGTGAATCGATGTTCACAGACAAAAAAAACTTTTACAAACATAGGTGTGTATAAAAATGTGTATAAGAGTGTGTACAAACATCATTGTTATTTAAATGGGGGAATGGATGCATACATAAATCATACCACTTCCGTCCCTTAAAACTTTGCCAAAATTGACCGGCACGGAGAATAATAAAATAAAAATTATGTGATCGAGGTTTGTGCAGAAGATAGAGAAATAACAGAAATCACAAAATAATTGATTAAGGAGATGTTTGGATCTAATTCTTAAAACTGCTTCTGCTCCTTCAGGGAGCAGAGGCAGAAGTTGGAGTGTTTGGGTGAAAATGCAGAAGTGATTCTGGTGTTCTAAATTACTCCTAGAATCAGTTTTTTTAGAAGCTGGGGGTAGCAGCTTCTGAAAACTGATTATGATTCTACTTCTGCTTTAAAAAAAGAAGCAGAAACAGAATCAGTTCCAAACACCCCCTAAAAAGAAAAGTGACTAAGTTTTTTGAGACGTCCGAAAAAGGAAGGATGACAAAGTTTAAAGGGACGAAGGGAGTACAAAACAAACTCATAGTCATGAAGATGAATTCGTTATTACTTACATGGAATAAATGCCCTTAATTTCTCTTTGCAATAAAATTATTATAGTAATGGATCCACAAGCCATTTTGCTCAAAAAAAATTACATGGAAAAGATAAATGCAAACATAAATCATACAAAATAAACCCACAATCATCCATGTGGGGAAGCTGATTATATTATTAATAATTTGAGATTAAATGAGACTAAAATAGACTTAAAGAGATTCATGTTACTCATATGAGAGATCCAGATCAGAGATAGGTGAAAGGATGCAAAAAATATAAAAAATAATGAAGTGTAAAGTCTTAATGCAAAAAATATAAAAAATAAAATTTCAGACCAGATCAAATCAAACCAGATTTGATCGGACCAGACTAAAACAGATCAGATAAAACTAGATCATCAAATTACCGATATTGATGTGACTCATCTCACCCATTTTACCAGACCATGTTCATTCAATTTGGGCCAATTTGGTATCTAGGCCTAAACCCCCAAAACCTTTCCATTTCCACTCTGACGCTTCTAACCCATACGACGATTCAAATCTCAAACCATGCTCCATCGCTTCATCTGCAAATCATCTCATCTCCGATTCCTCACCCAAATCTCCAGTAATACTCATTTCCTGAAGTCGAGTATCTGTTCTACTCGCCCCACGATCGCTGCTCCTGCCTCCTTTTTATTCCTTAAGGATTTCCAATTTTTCTCCACTGACAGGGGCAACAATGGCGGAGGTTCTCCATACGGGCCCTCTGATTCGTGGAAGCTATCTTCCGATATTGAATCCGTGTTCTCGGAGGAAATAGATGTATCAGAAACAATTCCACGTGGTGAAAGCCCCCTGCTTAGGGATTTGGAGGTACCAGAAAAGGGTGGTGCGGTTGCCAGCGGTGGATTGAGAGAGGATCACCTGCCGTGGACTATTGAGGAGGAGGACGGTAACAAGAATCTGTTCGAAAATTTGGCAGAAGATGAAAAGGGTCACCAGGAGTTAGAAAGTAATGGCACTGTTAGGGAGAAGGAAGAATGGGCCACAGCAGCAGGGTACCAACCCTGGAGTGTGGCTGTAGATAATATTGGTGAGACCGTGTTTGATATAGGAGAAGAACAAAAGCTTGATGGCGTTGATTTTAATGGAGAAGAGGAAGAAAGGTTGCGGAAGGAGAAGCTAGAGGAGGAAAAGAGACTTGAGATAGAAGAGAAAGCTCTCACTGCTGTTCTTAAAGGTTATTACTTTAGCTTCACTCTTAAAAGATTGTCCTCGGTAGTTGCACTAGTAAGTTGTGTTGGTTTTTTAGTTTCTTAAAAATTTCTTCTCCAAAGATGTTTGTTGGAGTATTATTAAAGACCCCAATTTGTTTAGAATCTGTATATGTAGTTGATGTAAGTTTCAGAATGTAGGCAATTCAAGACTTTATTGCAAGACTTAAATATGGTATGATGTGGTTTGCTGAAACTTAAAACATCAGTTGACATAGGTTATCTTAAAATATAGTGGGAAGTGCATTGCCTAATGAAAACAGAGAGAGATGTTGATTTTTGTTATGGTTTAAAAATATTTTTTTGTGGCTTTTTTTTGTGATTTTAAGGAGGGAGAAACTTCCGATATGTTCGCCTCTTTATTTCATGCTTATATCTCCCAAAGAAGGCGATTAGTATTTGATATAAAAATTTATCAATATCAGTATTAAACTATTAATTTTCATCCGACCCCCTTACCCCACCGTAGGTGGGAGCCTTTGCGGCACTGGGGTAAATGAAAATGAAATGAAAATGAATCAGTATTAGTTGTACCATAAAACTTTGTTCGCAGAATATCTACTAATTTACTTAGTTACTTGTTTAGAACGAATGCTTCTGCCAGATTCAATTTTCATTCTGTTTTTCATGTGCAAATAGTAACTTCCGATTTAATAGAAATAGTAATCAAAGTTTTTTTTGGGGGGAGGGTCTGGGAAAGGGAAAACTTTGTTTTTTGCTTTGGCTAGTTTTTATTACTTCCAACGTAATGAAGCATAGTATCTACTTTTTCCCTTTCTCAGATGGAGTATTATAAGTGCCAAATTATTTGCTTGCAGGTCCAAACCGTGCATTTGGGGATTTAGTTGCAGCTTCTGGAATCACTGAAGAAATGCTAGATAGTCTGATGACTTTAAAAAACCTTGAAGGCATTCAAGGATTGCCACCTCTACACGAAATAGAAGATATGCGCTATGAAAGGAACACAAGAAAATCTAGTAGAGCAGAAATTGAGCGTCAAAAACAAGAGGAAGTTGCCAAGGCAAGAGTGAGACAAGTGGATGAGAAGGGAAGGGCTTATGGGACAGGAAAGAGAAAATGCAGTATAGCCCGTGTTTGGATTGAACCTGGTGATGGAAAATTTATGGTAAATGATAAAGAGTTTGATGTGTATTTTCCGATGCTTGATCATAGGGCCAACCTTCTCCGTCCTTTTTCGGAAACAACAACATTGGGTATGTGGGATGTTAAGTGTACCGTAAAAGGTGGTGGTGTATCAGGTTAGTTGCTGATATGTATGTACAATACTCTTTCTACTCATTATATGATAAGGCACCATTTAGAAGGCGTGAATGGTCATTTCGATATGGCATTGTTTTCTCTGAGGTTTGCCTCTTATCAATATTGTTTACATGTGTGTTTTTAAAATCCGTTTTTGATGCTTACTTTAGGAGAGCATATTTGGAAAATCATATTTCTTTTGGAATTCAATAACTTTAACTACTTTATTTGATTTTTTTGTAATATGCTCAATTGTGCCTTATAATGTTGCTGCTTCTCGGTTGTGCCTTATGATAAAGACCGGATGGAGTAAAAACTCGGAGTAATAACTTGTCAGTATTGGTGTGAGTTGTCATAGACTTAGTACCATGCTTCTCTCTTCCAACTTTTTCATGTAAAACTGTTGAGCAGAAGATAACTATGAAGTAGTTCTATCTATGTAGTATTTTCTATCCCAAAAAAGTCTTATTTGAGAATTCCGTTTGGTCCCCTAAAGAAGACTCGTAGAAATGAGTAAACTTTTAAGAAGTTTTCTGAAAAAGAGATGTAAAGTTGAAAATGAAAATTCAAGTTCAAAAGAAAAAGTATATTTATAAAAATATTGGATAAGTTTACTTTTTAACGGTTGCACCTTGTAAAAAGTTATACCTTAACATCTTAAGGATGTAATTCTATCAGTGTTTTATCATATGCACTTATGGTAATCAAATGGTTCTATGTCAAAATACATGTGTGTATATCTTTGGATAACGCAAGTGCCTTTCAGAAATGCTATTTCTGGATCTTTGCTGAATTCTTGTTGAGTTTTTTCCTCTTCTGTGCTGCTGAAATACATGGTGTATGTGTGAAAGTAATAAATTAATGGTCGAACAGGTCAAGTTGGTGCGATTCAGTTGGGCATTAGCAGAGCGTTGCAAAACTGGGACCCTGAGTTGCGTCGTCCCCTGAGAGAAGGTATAACTTTTTGTTGCAATTACATTAAAGATTAGCTTTGTTTGATCAAATAGTATATTTCTCTAGGAAAAGCATATTTCGAAACAATTTTTTTTATTGAGGGAGCATGTACCCGGTTTAAGGTAGCTTGCATGTATTATACATAGTCTTTTGTTAAATTGGGCATTACTCATTTTAAAAGGTTCTTCTAGATTTGACGTTTACCTTAAACTTAGAGTACAAAGCTCATAAAAACAAACGTTCCACATGAAGTTGGGTTAGCAGAGTTGTAATCCATCTTGTGTTGATCATTTTTATCTATCATCATTCTTTTGAAGGTGGTTTCTTGACCAGAGACTCAAGAGTTGTTGAAAGGAAAAAGCCCGGTAGAGCAAAAGCAAGAAAGAGCTTCCAATGGGTTAAACGTTGAGCTTCAACTGTATGGTCAGTTTTTGTATTAGTTGCTATAGAATATCGCTATGAGTTAAGAAAATGGTTCATGTGTAATTCTTTTTTGTTTCAATCCCTCCCGCGGAATAGAGACCAGGCTTAAATGTCTTTAAATGGGAAGGGGCAAATCAGAACACTAATATTTATGTTGGTTCATATTATTCAAAAAAAATTAATTATTATGCTGATGTCTGTTCACCCTGCTGCATTGTTAAATAACCATCCGGGGTTGATGACGCTCGAAAAATGTAAATTTCTGGTTTAAACGGACTGAACTCTTGCTCATCGGGTATTAAAGTGATTTTGTAGTGATTATGCTTTTTTTTAAATAAGGGATGAGTTTTCTGAGTCAAGGATGTGAATATACGATTTCTAATGTCATCTGATGTTGCTGATGATCAAATGTATTTTGGTCTTCCATTTTGCTTCAAACGGCCGAACGCAAGTGATAATATACGTTAACCAAACAAGATTATATGGAAAAGAGTACTCTCTGGTTATCTAGAATAAATTAACGGAATGTACCTTGAAAACCCGAATTTTACACTTCAATTTTCATTCTCTGTTTTCTTTACACAAGTGCAAATGTGCTTGTCAATTTGTGTTCATGAGTACTCAAAGGGAAAAGAGTTTTTTGCCATTTTTTATCCCGACTATTTTGTCATTGAGACCTTTGATGCTTGATTTTTAATTTTTTCAATTTGTACGTCAATTATTGTACCAGGGACACTTTTAGTCCTTGACTTTAAAGTTTCTTATATTAATCCCTTGAGTATGATCAAATTAATACTTTTAGACCTTCTACTATGAACTTGACACATAAAGTGGTGGACTAAAATGTAATTATTATAATAGTTGAAGGGTTAAAAGTGTGGCTTTTATGAAATTTGGGAGACTAAATATGAAAATTTTCAAAGATGGGTACCAAAAGTATTTGTAGCACAATAGTCAAGCATTGAAAGTGGAAAAAAATCAAAGTTGGGTACCAAAAGTGTAAATGACATAATAGATCGAGGACTAAAAGTACTTGAAAAAAGATGTGTAAAGAGATTTTTCCCAAAATATTACTAATAATTGTAAGTAAAATGGACACATGATTAGTCTCATCACTCTTATTCCCTTTGTTTTTTCCCTACTCTCCTTTCTATATTTAAAAAACCTTCACAAAAGTCATTTTTTTTAAAAAATCAAATAACTAATTTATTCATTAAGTAATAGCAAAAAGATGACTGAATGAATGCCTAAGACTAAATTGATATAGACTTTGAACGAAAAAGATACTATGAATCTTTTCGGATCGTCAATCCTGCAATAATGTAGTTTAGTCTAACCGTCTTATCGTACTTGCTACTCCAATTAAAAAAAGTTACAAATAAAAGATTCGGGTTCACCATCCACCGAAAATAAAAATCGATTTGATCACCAACCAACAAAGGAAATCCTACCGAGATGAAAATGTCGGAATCATCTGTTTAACAAGCCATAAAAAATGAGATTAAATTGAGGGTTTTCTTTATCTCAAAGGGATACAGTAGTTTAAGTAGAGGATTATGAATTGAAGTCTCAAAATAACAAGGTTGAATTTTTTTGTCAATCATGGGTAATTAAAATTCGCTAGATTAATTACACCGACACACATCCTCTAACATCGCCAGGAGAAAAACATATCGTACGCTCAACTAAAACGGACAAAACTTTCGATCAAAGAAGAAATTGGACCAAGACTTTCGTATTTATAAATGAAAAGAGCGAAAACATAGAAAAAGAATGACAGCATGTGCAAAGGCTTCTGTAAAGAAAAAGCTAAAAAACATATCTAACAAGAGGTCGGAGATGGCCACCTAAAGTTTTCCCCTAGGGCTAGTTACTTCCATCGTTTTTGAACCTGACCAGACCATATCAAACTTGAACAGTTATAAATTACACATAGACTATACATTAACAGACCAAACCTGAAAATTCCAGTCCAAGTAAAAACATCTTTAGCGCACACTCCTCTCCACGACTCCATAGATCTTATTTTTACCTCTTTGGTAAAAAGCTGGTGAAGTTACCTCTTTGGTAAAAAACTGGTGAATATTTAACTTCACGAAAAATTCATTATTAATAAATTGTGAGTTTCTAAACTCACCAAACAATCATTATGAGTTCTAAACTCACAATGATGAGTTTAAATACTCTAAATAAAGTGAACACATACTCCCACTGATTTAAATAAATTTCACACTTTTACTTTCCGGTTTTTAAGAAGGTTGAATTTTTGTTCATTATAGGCGCAGATCATTGGTATTGTGGATGTATCGTTAGATTTTTGACTTTCTCATCATACCCCTCCAAAAGTAGATTAGATGTAGTGGGAGAGAGAAGGTTGGCATAAAGTAGGTAATCAAATAAGGGTATAAGAGTAACTTTATATTAAAAATTTATTAAAAACAAAAGTGTGAAGTTCATTTTAGACTTGCCTAAAAAGTAAAGTGTGAAGTTTATTGGGAGGAGAGATAGTAATTAGCTAAACACATAAATTGTACGATTAAAGACTTCATATAAACTTCCAAATTTTACGATTACAGACTTTATATAAACTTCCAACTTTTACAAACACTTCCAACAACACATTCATCATTCACCGATGAGCGTAGCTGAGCGAGTAGGTAGAGATGATAAAAAATAAGGCTTCTACAAATATTTCCGTTTGATTCTTCTGAATTAAGAAGTTTTAAATGCAATGGTTGTATTGATTGATTATATCCAAGTTCTAATGAATCAAGATACCCATTTATTCCAGCATAAATGGTAATAATTTGCTTTGCCGCTATGAGAGGAGCGGATTGGGATTGTTTAAGCAATTCGCACAATTGTTGACCTCTTGCTAATTGATTTTGACTAGCTCTATCAAGATCAGAAGCAAATTTGGCAAAGACTTCAATAATTCAACGAATTGGGCGAGTTCTAATTTTAATTTATCAGATACATTTTTATTTATGAACAAAATATAATTAAAATATATGTATTAATAAAATAAAGAAACAATTATATGAAAAAATAACTAAAAGGTAATATACAAAAGTTACGTATTTAATAAACAAGTTAACCGATAAACCTGATAAGTTGAAAAACAGAATTACCAAACGGACTTGTTGAGGTTTAATCCTGTAGATCCGAAAGCCCAACATAGACTTTGGATATATCAGGAAATGGACAATAATTTGGTATGTAAAAGAAATATAAAAGATCCATAATCGAATGCTCAAAAGCCCACTTATATTAATTGACATGTTTGATTACAAGGAAATTACCCGAACGGTACGTTGGATTGATGCTTAATACTAGAAACAAGAGTAATAAGGCTATTCTAGGGCTTGAGTATTAAAATGCTAACCCTTACAATGATATTAAACCTTCTAATTATACCAATGTAGAGTATGCGACACTTTATGTTGATTGGCCGATGTTCCACTGACTTGATCGCCCATGCCTCCACTTGATGATGTCACAATCTGGCATTAATTGCACCTGGCCACCTGCTGGTTGTCCGTTGCCCGAACGGGATAATGGGTCCTGTAAAACATTGTTGATTTGGCCCAAGTATGATGTATGACCCGAACCCCGTTCGGTATGTCTGTTTTCTGGGCCAGCCTTTAGTTGGCCTGAACCTCAATACAACAAATTATCATAAACTAATGAAATAAACTAAATCGTTGTGACTAGCGACATATTTAATCTATTATTAACATGTTACAATTTACAGAATACAATTAATAATCTATTGATGTCAATTAGACAAAAAAATCTATTGATGTTCAATTTAATATTGAACAATAATTATTATTAGTATATTTAAGTAGTTTAATCTTCCAAAAAAAGTACTCCAACATGTCACATATTAAAAAATAATACATTCTCCTAAAATAACTTGAACAATATAGATATAATTAAATCAATAGTGATCTCTGACAAAAATAAATAAAATTATTCAAACAATATGGATATGAAATCATTGATTCCTAATATGATAGTGTGTATTTACTCATTTTTATAATTTAAAAAAATATTTGAATAAGACTTTCAGATAAAGTTGTGTGTCTTGTCTCTTGGAATCCTTATGTAGATGCACTCGTCACATATGTTATCCCTCTTCACTCGTCAACTACTCAGTGTTTCAGCCATCGCGACTCGCAAACTCTTGGAACAAGATGAATTTGTTTCTGAACATTAATACATTACTTATTAGTCATTAGGGTTAGTTTGAATGTTACATTGTAGAAGCCTAGAAGGTTATAGTGTCTTTGGAAAATTGGGCCTTTATTTTTGTATTTTGATATTTGTAACCAACCTAAGTATTAATTTGGGCTTTAAAATTGTAATGGATTTTTTTTCAATATTTTAGAATTAAAAGTAATTGTTGGGTAGAGAGTCGGTACGGTATTATACCGGTATACCGCGGTATTTGAAAACATTTACTGTTACCGTACCGAAATAAATCGGTACGGTATGATACCGTATCGAAAATGACGGTATACCAATATTCCGATATTTTCCGGTATTTTTCGGTACGGTAAGTGCGGTATACCGATTTTTCGGTATTTTGCCCACCCCTAGGCACACCCCCTGCATGTGGAGCAGACCCGGCTGGAAACGAAGGAGCACCCCCTGCCAGGGCATATCCCGGCTGCCCCTGCTGCGGATACCAATATATGGGCTGCCCATATTGACCCCCCTGCTGTCCTCTTCCGCGCCCACGACCACCGCGGCCGCGTTGCGGTTGGCCGTGTGGACGCTGCTGCTGTGTTCCCAATTGGTGAGGCCCCTGCGACTGCTGTCTCGCCGGCTGGAACCCTGCCGTAATAGCACCGAAGGCCTGGTGCACGGATGACGACTCCTGGGAGCGAAGATAGAGAACCTGCTGCTCTAGCTCAAGAAGATGATTGTGTAGGGTCTCAAAAGGAAAATTTTGAGGAAAAAGGGAGACAGTGGTGAACAAGGACTCATACTCAGGTCTCAAGCCCATAATAGTAGTTTTGAGCACTTCTCGAGGAGGGACAGGGCAATTAATCGTAGCAAGATCATCAACCAAGATTTTAATCTCTCGCGAGGAGGGACAGCCTATAATAGTAGTTTTGAGCACTTCGCGAGGAGGGACACTGCGTTCCGAACCGAAGTGGAGCGCTGGGCGATAGGGAAAATCCTGCCGCGACGGAAGAAGAGGATAGACCTGCGGCGGAGGAGACTGCCATGGACAACGCTGCGGAAGAAGCCTGCGTGGAGGAAGAGGTCATCTCTGGCGGAGGCAGTAGAGAGAGAATCGAAAAAAATTATTAGGGTTTTTACTGTGCTCTTGATACCATGTGAAATAATGGAACATGATGCTCTCTAAGGAGCCCTGACAGATATATTTATAATAAAGAGAGTTTAATGTAAAGTACAATACTGATCCTATAATAATTCTATTAGATTCTAGATCAAGTAAGTTGCACCCATATGTCAAAACTCGACTCAATAAAATTCCCCTCAATTCCATTCAAGTTACACGAACTCCCCTCGTGCCGGAACCAATCTCTAATCCTTTCTTCATTTAATCATTAATCGAATTTAAATTAATATTCATTGCAATTTTTTTTGAACTAGTCTCGCACAATCATTTTTACTTCCTTTCTTCCGAAATCGGTTAAAATTAATTGGTACTTTATTCCCCTTTTATGTGTTTGTGGAGAAGATGCTTGTCGTTTTATCCTATAATATTGCATCAACCTTAAGTGCAAGAAAATAAACTCACATCACAGTGTTATCTGATTATACATATGCAAGTTGATCGATGATTAAAGTTTGACTTGATAAGAACGATAGCTCCATCGTGTTTGTCGGATTGATATGTGGGAGCGCCAAGGCGGGCGATTTCACCTTTTGATATAAGGAATTAGACTCTCTATATGTTGACGACTATACGGCAGTCATGAGTATAGTTTGACAAGCCATAACAATGGTAGTACACGCTAGCATTTGTCAGTAAGGTTTGCACCGGTCCAAACCCGGACCGGAACAGAACCGAAATCTGTATTTTAGATGGACAGGAGACCGGGCCTGATAGCAACCGGTCCAGACCGGTGCAGACCTGTTTATTCCGGGTCGGTCCGGTTCTAGACCTGATTGGACCGGTATTAAAAATGCAATTTAGATTTTGAATTTTTATGGATTCATATATGTGTATTATCCTTACTACTAAAAAACTCTAGTGTTGTCTATGTTTATAATTCAAGCACTAGTCACTAAATACTAAGAATAACTATTTTCTAAGGCAACAAACATTACAACAACGCTGCCAACAATCGGTGGAGGAGCTAGGGGGGGCATGGGGGGCAAGCGCCCCCGCTCCGACTAATTTTTTTTACTAGTATTACTTATAATATGTTTCTTGCTCCGGCTTCTTTTTTAATTTTAAAAACAATAAGTACAACTTAAGGTTATTTTAAGATGAAGTGTTAAAATAAATAAAAAAGTATTTTCAGAAAAAGTAAAAAAAATGAAATATAGAATAAAAGGGAATTAATGTATGTAATACATTTGGCATCCCAATTTGCCAATAATCCGGAGTAGCTCAGTGGAGACAGGTAACACGCTCCCTTCATATCACCCGTGTTCGAATCCCCCCAGGACGGATTAAATTAAACTTGTTTTGCTTTTCTTCCGCCCCAATTCTTCCAATTTTATTTTCTTCAGCCTACAACTCGCCCACACCGGATGAAATAGAGGATTCACTCCTCATTTGAGCCTATATAATCGCTCCTTCATAGTTGATAAAGATTAAGTTGCTAGTAAAGCTTGAGTGCAAGTATTAGCTACAATATAAACAAATATTGAATACCCATTCGGTTTTTGTGAAAAAACCGAATAACCGGACCGAAAATTCGGTGTCCGAAAAATTGGGTCCCAACTTAGATCGGTTCGGTTTCGGGTTATAGAATATACGAAACCGAAAGATCGGTTCGGTTCGGATATTTCCTATTTCGGTTCGGTTCCCGAACCGAATCCAGCCCTAGTTCTCACTTCTCCCCATTTGTTCTCAGATTCTGCAATTTTCAAGTAAGTTTCTCATCTGCCAATTTATGCCCATATTATCATCACTTTCGAGTTGATATTTTTTATCAGGTATTTTTTATTAAAATTTAAATTATTTATTAGTTGTTATTATTATTATTATCATTATTATTATTACTATTACTACTACTTTTTATTATTACCTTATTGTAGGTTATAGACCAGGTCAATCTGGAAATGGAGAATCGCTTTAGTGAGTCAAATACAGATTTACTCGCTTGTTTAGCTTGCTTTGAATCTAAAGATAATTTTTCCAATTTCTGTGAGTCAAAGCTAATCAGTCTTGCGGAGTTATATTCATCTGATTTTTCAGCTGTTGAGCAAATGGAGCTTAAAGAACAACTCCAAGTTTGGATATATGAGATGAGAGGAAATGAAGCATTTTCCACTTTACAAAGTATTGGTGAAGTGTCTAAGAAGATGGTTGAGCTTACAATTCACAAATCTTTTCACTTGGTCTATCGTCTTATTGAGTTGGCTCTAGTGTTACCAGTTGCAACAGCCACAGTTGAAAGAGCTTTCTCATCGATGAATATTATCAAGACAGATCTTCGCAATAAGATGGGAGATGACTATCTTACGGATTGCTTAGTATGCTACATCGAAAGAGACATTTTTCAAGCAATTGATAATGAAGCTATTATGCAGCATTTTCAAAATATGAAAACTCGTAGGATTGATTTGCCTAGGTTGCAGAAGTAAATCAAGTAGTATGTAATGAACTATAATTTTTTGTTAAATTATTACGCTATTGTTGTTCTTATTATATTTTGGACACGAACTTTAAAATTTTTAGTCTTTGGTTTGTCCCTCCTTGGACAAACCTCTGGCTCCGCCACTGCCAACAATAATCTGCCAAGAATAATCTGCCAACATCAATGGCAAAGCAAAAACATGAATCTCCCATAAGCTATTGTTTAACCAAAGCAATCTGCCAAGATCTATGAAGCCATGGAAAAACCAAAGTATCAAGCAGCAGTAAAAATATTTTGACCAAAGTGTTAACTAGTCTATGGCAAACATAACCCAAGATAGTCTAGTACGTATAACCGGTACAACTTACAACTTTATAAGTATAATTATATTAAACATGAACACTATTACACATTTACACTAATACGGATAAAATAATAGTAATAACCGGGTTACCGGTTCAGACCTGTTATTTTCCGGGTTTGACTTGGATCAGACCCAAACCTGGAATCTCAATTTTCAGTGGACCGAGGACCGGACCGGTATACTCTGGATCGGTTCGGACCAGTCCATTATGGTCCGATTCAGGTCCAAAATACGATCTGGACCGGTTTATGCACACCCCTATTTGTCAATGGTCACGGCAACCCGACAGTGTTTGAATTGTAGGGGCTAGCCAGCAATAGCGAATACTATTCATTATGTAAATAAAGCATCTATGTTTTACTTCTATTTACGTGATTTGAATGAGTAAACTAATAAACAAAAGTCTAGTGACTATCCTAGTAATAAGGAAAGTGCTACTTGTACACGCTAGGTTACACATCGGTTTACACGCTCAAGTGTAATTATAATTATCTGTGAACATGCAATTGATTTTAATTAGTGGTGACTAGTGTGTACCATCACTAAGCTCTTTCATAGTCTACAGTAATAATCAGCTTAACAATTAATTCCCTATAAATGAATGGCACACCATGACTGAAAACACGAATGAATATCTCCCATATCCAAGACTTGGGAAAAGTGAGACCAGATATCTCAATCCCATAATTAATTAATTATTTGGTGTTGGAAAAAATTGCCCTCTTTTTACTTTTTCAACACATTTTGTCTTTCTGTCATACAACTTTCATCCACTTTCACTCCATAGTACATTCCATCCATGCAATGTAGCTACGTGGAAGCTCCCTATATCTCTTTTTACGTACAATCCAATTCATATATAAATACCCACAAATGCACACATTATTTTTATCTATATTTTTTATAATATTCAAGAAAAGCCAAAAAATAAAAGATCCAAATTTTAAACATGGAAGAACCATGCAGCAACGACGAGCAAGCCTACAAAGGAGTGAGGAAACGGAAATGGGGGAAATGGGTGTCGGAGATCCGGGAGCCGGGGACGAAAACGAGGATATGGTTGGGGAGCTACGACACGCCGGAGATGGCGGCGGCAGCCTACGACGTGGCGGCTTTCCACTTCAAGGGGCGGCACGTGCGGCTCAACTTCCCGGAGCTGGTGGAGGGTTTTCCTCAGCCGGCCAGTTCTCGGCCCGAGGACGTCAGACTGGCGGCTCATGAGGCGGCGATGAGGTTCAAGGTGACGCCGGCGGAGGATGCGGCGACGGCGGACGTGCCGGCCGGTTTGGGCTCGATTAGGGTAGGGCTGTCGGCGAGTGAGATAGAGGCGATAAACGAGACGCCGATGGATTCACCGAGCCAGGTGTGGATGGAAGTTGGACTAGTAATGAATCGGGATGACGATGATTGGGTGGAGATGCAAAGTCATTCCATTTGGGATTATTGATCTTCTTCCCTTTTTTTTCAACTCTCATATTCTTTTATTTTTTTTTTTAATTATTTCGAGTGAACTTATAATTGTGAATGTTTAAGGAAATAAATACGTATGTACTACATAAACAAGAACATAAGGTATATATTCATGCTGCGTATATATTCCGGTTGATATTTGATAAGGCGATGTGTTATGCTTGGACATTTTAATTTAATGTATGTGGGACTAATTAAGTATGAATTATCAACAAATTACTTTCTTATTTTGTACGTACCAGTTGGTATAATTTTATAGAAATTGCTCAAAATAGAGAAAGAATTCAAGAGCGTAGGTACGGGGCATCATAAGAGCATCTCCAATGCAAAAACGTGAATGATACATACGTGGAATGAGAGATAACCAATTAAAAAATAATGAATATAATACCTCTCTCCTTATTTGAACGGTCTTATATGTTTTTGGTAAGTTTTTCTCTACAATGTCAAACACAATGTCTAGATGCCACATGTGCATCGTGGAAAGAAGGAGAGAGAAATGTTATAAGTTTGATTTTTTGTGTCCATCTCTCTGATGTCACATGTGCACCATGCACATCGTAGCATTGGAGATGCTCTAAGACCCGATACACCACAAATTTAAGTTTTATTTAAATTATTAGTGTAAAAATTCCTGTAAAAAATATTTCAATTATCTTTATTATATTTGTACCAACCCTACCCGTTATACCGTTGTAGCTATGGCACTGCATGAATCTATTTTGGAATGAAAACAATATACTCCATATAATGTAACTCGATTCTATTTGCCATTTTCTGAATATTTTTAGTCCTAATTTGCTCATAATTTTACAATTATGTAACTACGACAATGCATTTTATTTAATTATTTAGTAATATTAAAGTAAAATATTTTTTAAAAAACTTTAGGTTATTCCATTCTACTAATGTATACGAAGTATATAACACACATAGCGTATGTGAACCTCTCATTTTTAATCATTTAGAAAAAATACATTTGGACAATTGGACCGTTTATTTATTATGCGATCTATTTATAGGAAAGAAATACTTTCTCCGTCCCGAAAAGGTTGGCCAAATTTCCTTTTTTGGATGTCCCAAAAAGATTTGTCATTTCTATTTAAAGTAAAGAATATGTGGCTAAAATTTATTCGCTCTACTCTGCACAAATTTCAACCACACAGTTTTACTTTATTAATCCACGTGAAAGTCAACTTTGACTAACCATTTCAGGACGGAGGGAGTATAAAATTTGATACTTTAAAGAAAAATGAAATAAGATTATTTAACAATATTTACACAAACCGATTTATCTTGTACTTTGAAATAAGACGAGTAGACAGCATAAAGGTCAACATGTACTTTGAAATGAAAATGGATGAAGTGAAGTAGTCCGTATATGTAAAATCGAAAGGAGAAATTAAAGTATACTCTTTGTTACTTTTTGTTCGCATGCGACACGCACGGTATGAAACTCTTTGTTCGTGCAACTTTAGGAGTTGACGCTTGAATAAAAGTCGCTTCTACACGTCTTCACAATGTCTACTTGACTACTTTGATAATTTGGTCATGGTATAAAATGTGACATAAATTCATAATAGTATTTATTTTACTTGATTTCGCACTGAATTGTATAATATGATAATCAAAATAAATAATATAAAATTTTAGTTGATATTCTTATACATAACCTTTTTAGTTAGTATTCATATTTTTTTCATTATTTTCTTATTATAAAATTTTCATGATTCAACAGATTCAGTCAATTTTGTCGTTTCAGGCTATCAGTCAGAATTTCATCAATTTAAACATAATCATATGATTGAACCAATTTCAATGTTACAAAGAAGCTTTAGTAAATAAATGTAATAATAACTTATACTTCGTATTTACGTGATTTCGTGATATGCCAACCATACTCTCATGCACAAGGGCGGAGCCGAGGGTCAGGGTGGTCAGCCAACCTCTTTGAAAGTTTAAAAGTATAGAGCCCTGACATATCTTCGGTTTGATATATTACGGCCCCCGTAACTCATTACGAGTAAAAAGTTTTGACTTCTGGAAAATCAGCACTACCTAGACGTAAAATCAGCAAAATCTGATGCATACTATAGATTATTTTCCCAAATTAAAAAAATAGGGAAATACTCAATACTTACGTGACACGACTAAGAAACAGAGCAAAAACAACAATCAATCTTATTGCTACGAGTTCATATTTATCTAAAATGCATATGAAATATTCAACTACGACATTGTTTAAAAACGATCCACCATTTTCATTCTGTATATAGGTTGAGTTTCGACCCCTGTTCATGCATAGATTATGTTGGTACTGTTAGATGCATATCCTATATGCTTAATACTGAAACTTACGAGTGAAAAATACGTAGTATAAAGATTACACATGCATGTTACATGTACACAATCATACAATTTCTACTGCCTCCGTTTCAAAATCTTTGACGCGGTTTGCTTTTTTGGATGTTTCAAAATGAATCTAAATCATAAAATTTACACATGCATGTTACATGTAACACAATCATACAATTTCTACTACCTCCGTTTCAAAATCTTTGACGCGGTTTGCTTTTTTGGATGTTTCAAAATGAATCTAAATCATAAAATTTCTACTACCCCCGTTTCAAAATCTTTGACGCGGTTTGCTTTTTTGGATGTTTCAAAATGAATGACACACTTCCCATTTGGTAAACAATACGGTACAAAACAGTGCAAGACAGTGTGCTCTACAGTAAAATTTACTCTTCTGTAAAAAAAAATCCTTAATCTGTGTGAAATCAAAGTGTTCAATGATTTTAAAACGCATGGAGTATTTGTTGAGTTAATTACCTAAATAGGAGTAAATACGTCTTTAATTGCCAAAATAGGACTAAAGTTTAAAAATCCCCAAAATAATAGTTATTATTTGTATTGGACAAAAACACCCCTGAAGCTTGGAAATCGTACTGCAACCAACCAGAACACCGAACCACCGCATGTCGCCGGTCGCCGCCAGTCGCCGCCGGTCGCCGAACATATCTGCCACCTCAAAACCGGTCACCGTTGTAGATCTGACCATCGCCGATGTAGATATGGTTGCCGCCGCTGCAGATATGGCACACGCCACCTCAGATCTGGCCGTTCCCGGCACGAATGTCAACATTTCAATCAAAATTCCAAAATGAATCAGAAATGCCATTTTAATGGCATTTTCAAAGCAAAATACAAAATAAGAATGCCATTTTGATGGCAATTTCAGTGTTGAGCTTGGTATTTTTACCACTCAAAGAAGAAATCGAGCATCTGCAACGAAATAGAAGGAGAGAACTAGAGAAGAGGGGAGGAAGGAGAGAACCTACCTTCGAAGAAGAGAAGATCTTTGACGGTGATGACGACGGTGATGGCTACAGTGGCGGAGGACTTCACGTCAGCGGCGGTGGACTCAAAGCTTTGGTTGTTCCGGTGCGAAGGGAAAGGGAAAAGAAGGTGTATTGCGCAGGAGGGAGAAGATGCGCACAAGGAGAAATGCGCAGGAGAGAGAAAGAAAGAAGAAGGGAGTATTGCGCAGGGGTAGAAGATCGTAGGGGAGAAGAGGGGAAGAGAAAGAATAGGGATAAATGGGTAATGCATTCCCATTTAGGGCAAAAAAATTATGATTAATCCTATTTAAGAGTTTCAGGAAGAATTTAGTTCCTTTTAGGGCAATAAATCATTTTATTATTCTACGTCCAAGTCAATTTTGACCAAGTTTTATGGACAGAGAGGGCATACGAGTTTTGTTTTCATTATTTTTTTTTTATTTTTTCCCATATTTTCCTTTTGAAAAATTAAATTTCACATTAAAAAACAACTTTATGGTTAACCTTTTTACATGAATAATGAATACAAACTTCAATCAACAGTAATACTCCGTATCTCATAATTTATCAACGCCAAAGATTGCCTTTTTCCTTGTACATTGTGGGTTGAGGTCACAGTATTTTTCACTTTGTCCACTACCTTTCCGCCTTCTATCTCATTATTCAACACACTGTAAGGGCTTCAAGATTCGCAAATCATTTGCCCTAAATCTCCAGTCCAAAACACCAAATTCGGACCGCCGGTCAACCAACAACAATGTCGGACATCCCATTGGAAGTCGTCGCCGACTTTTTATCCCGAGTCCCGGCAATGTCTCTGCTACGATTCAGGTGCGTATCAAAACAATGGCGCTCGATTATCGACAGTCCAGAATTCATCAAAATGCATCTGAACCGGACGCTCCATACGAAATCTGACCGTAAGCTCATCCTCCGCTCCTGTTATCTGTACTCAGCGGACTTCGATGGACTGGATAACACTAACGTGGCCCATTACGTGAAAGTTGAGCATCCATGGAAGCGCCCTGAAATAGGAACTCTGATTGTCGGGTCTTGTCACGGAATACTCTGTTTGGACGGTGGGGTTGAAGATAAAAGTATTCTACTCTGGAACCCTACAACCAGGAAACATTTCAAATTACCTCCCTCAAAGTTTGAACGTTCTATGGAATCTTTCCGTAAGAGGACAATGGTTTTCGGCTTCGGGTACGATAAAGCTAGCGAGGATTATAAGGTATTGAGAATACTACAGTCTTATTACATGGACAGTGAAGTGAAAGTGTTTAGTATGAAATCTAAATCTTGGAGGAAAATTGCTAATTTTCCTTACTATCTGAAATATCAAAGTGCCCCTGGAGTGTTGGTATCAGGCTCTTTGCATTGGGTTGTAACAAAAGACCCTGACACGTTCATGGTTAATTTGATTGGTGCTTTTGATCTTGAGACTGAAGAGTACAGGTTGGTTCCTCAACCGGACTACCCTAAAAAGAAGAGCAAAAATTTTCATTTGAATGTGGTGGCTTTGGATGGATCACTTTGTGGCTTATGCAATTATTATGACCACGAGTACGTTGATGTTTGGGTGATGAAGAAATATCTGGTGAATGAGTCATGGACTAAGTTGTTTAAGGTTGCAGAATCAGATACCCGTATCAAGCCTTTTCATTATGTTATGCCTATAGCATATTCCTGGAGTGGCAGGAGGGTATACATGGTGCAGAATGACAAAATGCCCCTTTGGTATGATTTGGAAAAGAAAAAAGTTATTCCTACAAAATATCACATCTCTGACCCTCCTAGTTATATGGAGCATCAAATGTGTTTTGGAAGTCTGGTTCAACTTGATGGTGGAATTAGTGGTATGGTTGAGAGGGTTCAAGATACAAAGGAAGAATTGATAGGTAGTAGCAAAGGAACCAAAAAAAATGGAAATAATAATAAGAAGTATGTATGCTAATTCATTGTTTTCACCCCTGCCGTTAGCTTTTCCTTAATTGTCTGCTAATGAGTTTTAATTCATTCAGAGATAACTTCCTGTCAGTGGGCTTCAAGCTGGTTCTTTAATCAACTCAAGCTGTTTGCAATTAATGGTATGGTTACATAGACCCTTTTTCTTCACCTAGCCTGTGTGCATGATATGTGCTTTATAAGGTTGCTATTTGGCTTTGACTTTTTGATCTCTTGTAGTTGAGGTGAACCAATGATTACTTGAATTTGTCATCATTTATCTGTCTATATTTTCATTTAATTAAAACAGGTGTTAGCTCTACAATAATAATAATAACAGTTCCGGTCCCCCTTAATCCAGAATTTTATACCTGCAGTTCTGTCCTCTCATTTAGGTTCCAATTGAGACATTGAGACTTCGTAACACTGAAGTTTAATTGATGTATGGACTTTATGAAATACTCCGTCCCTTAAAAATTTGGATGCCAACTTTCCTTTTTTGGATGTCCCACTAACTTTGTCACTTTCCATTTTGAGTAAAGATTTTGTGGCTACAATCAATTCTCTCTCCTTTGCACAAACCTCTACCACACAATTTTACTTTATTGATCCCCGTGCCGATCAAACTTGTCAAAGTTTAAGGAACGGAGGGAGTATTACACTTGTTGGAATATTCTTGCTCTTTTTTGTCAAAGAAAATTAAAATGTGGTATATTGATAAAGTTTCCTTCGAAACTGATTTTTTAAAATTTTATAAATATATAGGTAAAAAGTATGGCATTGTCCCATGCCAAAAACTACAGTCCAAATCAATATACCATACCTGAAGTTTTATCAAAATTCCAGTACAACATTTGCAAAAATACCCTTAATTTGGTTCGTACGCAGTATTGAAATTTTGGTCTTGTCTACCTACCATACCCACCCCTATTTCTTATCGCTGAAACTTGAAACAGCTTGGAGATATGACTGCTATTATTCGTTCTTGTGGGACACAGATGGAGAAAAGTGATATTGGAACAAGTTTTCCTAGCACACATAATGATAGTATAACAAGTTTAAAGAAAGTTTCTTTGCCAAATGCTAATTTAAGATGTTCAACAGATATTTCCATATTGGATGATTATTTTAATAAATATTTGAAGTGTAAACTTGAGTACTTTGTACATGGGAAGGTGCTACCATCTGCAGACTTAAGTTACACTACATATATGTTATTAATTTTATTTGTTTCTCTTGGTTATATTTTAATTTTAATATTCCCCCAATTAAGTTTTTAGATGAATTTCACACATATTAAGAAAATAAATTTATTAGGGCCTGAGGGTAAATTTTACTGTTTCGACACTGTTTGACATTATTTGACACTGTTTTGATGTAGATAATTTGCCAAATAAGAAAATGTAGGGAAGTGTGAATTTAATTGTGGGATTGTCCAAAATAGAAACTGAGAACTTAATTGGGGGACGGAGGGAGTACATTTTGTCCGTCCATACTCCTGAAATAAGAGTTTGCTAAATGATGATTATATACACAGGGTCGGCCACGGACTAGGCTTAATGGCAAGGATGGAGCCCGAAGGGTGCAACTATTTTTTTGGAACCGGTAACTAGGAACACAATATTTTAAGGCCTTGACCTTAAGTAGAAAACTAACTAAGAATGTGGCAATGTATGACCAAAATCTTGAATACTTGTGATTTCTTGTTGAGAATATTGCCCGAAATAAAACTAAAACGTTTTGAAAATTCAAAATAGGCCTGTCATGTTTTTATTCCCAAAATAGGACTAATTACTGCCATGTTTTGGCAGTACCAAAACATGACAGTATTTTCTAAACATGGTAGCAATTAGTCCTATTTTGGGAATAAAAAACATGACATTTCTATTTTGGAAATTTTCAAACTATTTTAGTCCTATTTCGGAAACATTCTCTTTCTTGTTTCATGTAGTGTATATTTTTAACTCGCCCCTTACATTCCTCTTATTGTTTTGTGAATAAGAAATCTCTAGTTATACTTGACAAATGTGCATGTCTTCACTCTTCATGGTCCAAATCGGGCTTTTTTATTGAAGGTTAAGGCCCGGAATTGGCCCGACTACCTTTTTTTTTTTACTTTTCTAATTAATTCCTACCCGCCCCCCAAACCCCTCCAAAACATTCAGCTCAATCCATTTACCTCCCAAAGATTTTGAAAAAAAAAAATGGCCCGGACAGGTATGGCTCGGACAGGCCCAGCCAGGTCGATACCAAAGAAACATCAAGCCCACCCCCCGGTTTGGGCCCTAGGCCAGGGCAACCGGGTCAGACCGGTCCCGTAAAGTGGTGGGCCGGTCCGGTTCTTGGGCCGGGTAGACCAGAACTGGTCCATCCCTAAGAAGGCATCGGGATTGCATGCATATGGTTTGCCATGGTTCTTCCGCAGTTCCGCTAGATGCCTAGTTGTATACTCGGGTACTAATGTAGTACCTAACCATGGACATGGTCTAGAACCGGGTTTGATACTGTTTGGGCCCGGACTAAGTCCTTTTTTTCGGTTTCGAGCCTACAACTGGCCCTATCCACCCAAGAGAGGTACCTGGCTTGGTTCACTTATTTGGAGATCAAACCAAGCGGTCCTGGTTTACGTCTCAACTGGCCAATTTTTAGCATTGGAAGTTGGAACTAGTAAAAAACAGACTCGGGTTTTGAATTGAACTAATCGGGTACATGGAATCGGCTCAAACCTGGAATTAATTAGGTTGGAGTGTTGGACCCACACTTCTTCAATTTTTGGAAATACCGCAGTCTTGGGGGGACCACACCAACCTAGGTCCATGCCTACTAGTAACTATTCTTGGATAGTTGGATTATTCATCAAACACCATGAAACCATTGTTATGGCTTCAAGTCTGCAACCACTACTAAGCAGTTGTTCTACCGTGGGATTGGTGAACATCCTACTCTCACATATAAAATGGTGTCATTTAAGTTTAATTTAACAAAATTCGCGTGAACAGTACTTTTACTTTTGTCTAATTTTTTTAATGGTGTAAATCCTTTGTATTGATATGTAACTCACGTTATTGTAAAATGTAAATCCAGTGTTTTCAAATGTAACTCATGCGCTGGAGTATGTGACTTGTTTTACTCATTTTTTTGAAAGAGTAACCTGTTTTACTCTCTCAACTACTTGTTATACCACTTGAAATATAGTTTTATAAAATTATTTTTATAAAAATCAATCTATATTTTTTATTTCTATAAAATGATTTTTTATAAAAATAATTTTTCTTTGAATAGAAGGAGATTATTTTGTTGTGTAACTCGCATTATATTGTGATGTAACTCGCATTATGTTTGCACGCAGCACTGGGACGTTGCTGATGGTGGAAACATCGTCGAAGTTGCTGGTCAGTCACTGCCTTTCTGGTTGCACGCAGCACTCGGACGACGCACGACGTAAAGAGTGTTGGTTTCTGGCTTTCTGCCCTAATTGCTCTTCCACGGTAAACTAAGAGGCGCGAGAGCTGCTCTTCGGTGAATGATTTCGCTCTGAATCGGAATTGGATAGGGTACGACTTTGCGAATCAGAAGAAGGTGAGAGACTTTTATTAATAGAAACGACACCGTTTGGGATCGGCACACCATGCACATGGTGGGCCGATCCCACGGTATAATCTGCGACTACTAAGGGTGAATTGGGCTGGGGCCGAGCCGGGATTGAGCAGGTCTCAGCTCCAAAAACATCGGGTTCGGGACCGAGTCGGGCCTTATTACTTCCTCCGATCCTAAATAAACTTCACACTTTCCATTTTGGGTAGGTCCAAAATAAACCTAACACTTCTTCTCCCTTCCTTATTTGGCAAATTATCTATATCAAAATAGTGCAAAACAGTGTCACAACAGTGTACTCTACACTAAAGTCAAATTTATTTCCTTAATTTGTGTAAAGTCAAAGTGAAATTTATTTAGGACCGGAGGAAGTATTTTTTTTTAAATTTTGTCTTTTCAAACTAATTCCAACCCTCACCCACCCCCAAACCGCCCGACCCCACCCACCTAGCAGCCAACCCAATGAGAAAAAATCAAAAAAATAAAATTATTGAGCCTACTCGGCCGATCCATCAAAATGGGAGCTTGATGCTCGCTTATTTCTTTTACCGAGTCAGGTCCCAGGCCTAGTCCCAATCCCAATCAACCGGGCCAGGCCAGGCTTGCACAATGGCAGGCCGGGTAGCGGTCTGGGTAGGCTCATCCCAGTAGTCCATCCCTAACCACTACCACTATGAGTGTCGCAACTACTTGTGATTGACTAGCAATGCTACTAAAAACTAGCTAGTGCTAACTGAGCTTGATTACTAGGGAGGGTGGAGGGTCGGGGGTTAATTAGAAAGCAAAAAAAACATAGAACCGGGCCCGGCCCGGGTCCGATTCTAACCCCTACAACCGTACCACATCATGCAATATGATGATTAATACGTAATCAAGTCACGGAACTATATTCAAATATAGTGAACTATATATTTTAGTTTTTTTTATACTCCCTCCTTCCGAAAAGGTTGGCCAAATTTCCTTTTATGGATGTCCCAAAAAAATTTGTCATTTCCATTTAAAATAAAGAATTTTCATTTCATTTTCATTTACCCCAGTGCCGCAAAGGCTCTCCCACCTACGGTGGGATAAGGGGGGTCGGATGTACGCAGTCTTACCCCTGTACTAAAGCACAAGAGACTGTTTCCGGATGATCCATAGTGAAAATCGCGTCCAAAATTGCAACCAAAATTTAATGTAAGGAATATGTGACTAAAATTAATCCAAAATTCTCTCTCCTCTACACAAATTTCAACCACAGTTTTACTTTATTAATCCACGTGAAAATCAAATTTGGCCAATCTTTTCGGGACGGAGGGAGTATATAATAAAATTATGCTAAACATATTATGTGTATGCTAAAGTAATCTAATACAGATTACTTCTGTTTTGGTTTTATATCATATCATTCAAGCAATTATTCAGTTGATATTAGTACAACGGTTGATAGATATCTGCCACCTGTGAGTGAAGAAATGTGGCTTGACTCATATTTCTATTAAATGGCATATGATATGCCAACCTAGCAACAGATTTTCAAATGACCATCTTCTGTACCCACCATAAAGAGCCGGGAGAAGGGCAGAATGCTTATGCTCGACAACACAGACATGCTTCTAGATTCCCCATCTCCCATGTATAGATACTGAGGACTAATTGCATGTCTCTCATCCTGTAAATATCCAACCAAGCATCAATATAAATGTAGCAGTTGCATCAATAACCATCAAATCAATATCCCCCCCCCCCCCCCCCCCCCCCCCATTTTATAAGTTTGATCTTTGGATGATGTGTGGATTTGGATTGTCTGTTCTTATTTACCCTCCCATTACTTCTTCGCAGTCAGATTTGGAAGGAGATGGTAATGGGAGGATATTAAGGAAAAATTCAACATCAAAGTTAGCAGAAAATTTTCTGTGACTTGAATGGAGGAAAAAAAAAGCAACCTTTATGCTTAACAATTTAACATACTACGGAGTATTTCCTTTAACTTACACAAAAAAAACTGTGAATCACTTTGGGAAATTGTTATGCGTTATATAATTCAGCTCATCAAATTTGGCCTTTTAAGCAATAAAGAGTATATTTAGGTAGATGAAAAAAAAAGTGGTCCACTTTGGTCATAGTGACAGAATATACGTACTTCAACTGCAAAGTTGGCTAAAGAAGATAGCCCAATCCTATTTCTGGATATTGAGATCACATCGTGTCCCCAAATTGAGAAATTGGATATACCATCAGTATGACCTCTAAAAATCAAAGGTGTTGATGTGCAATTCCTGAAAGTGAAAGCAAATAAAAAGGGTCATACTCCCCCTCCTCTAATTAGGAAAAAGAAAGCCACAGACATAACGCATTGCTGCGTGGAAACCCTATAAGGCTAGAAGAAGTTCATTCATGCTTTTAATTATATTTCCCTTAATCGATTTTCAGAATGGAAAGTGGCAGCAAATACCAAGTGAGCGATAAGCATCCAAATGTACAGGATCTCACAAATTTAGAAGCAATCATAAACTTCATTTACCAGTGTAGCTCAATAAAATACATAAAAACATGCAATATTATTGAACCAAGATGATGTTAATTTAGAGGAAATCATAAAAACTTTGATAAACAAATGTGGAAGAAACAAATATGCCCAGGAGACATTTCAATACAAATTCTCAATATTTAAACAGGCTGAAAAGCATAGTCAGCAGAATCAAAGTGTTACCTTCTCAAATCCCAAATTTTTAAGGTCCGGTCAAGGGAGCTTGAAACAAGTAAATGTGCCTCTGGTGAAGCTAACTGCAGGCATTCAACACACAATTACGTAAATGAAGTTATATGACAATCTCTTATACACGAACCCAAGAAACATTCCACGGTACCTTTGTCACAAATCCATCATGGGCCTGCCACGAGGCAATAATATTACCACTCCTCAGATCAAACAACCTACAATGACCAGAACTTTGTCCTGCTGCAATCCAGCATGGAAAGTTAGTTGTTCCATCAACTTGACTTTCATTAGAACCACATGCACATATGGATGAAGTCAGGGAAGGAAAGTTGGACTCAATAGCCTCACTTCTCCAAAGGTGAAGCTTTTGACCTTGGCTGACATCAATGAATCTACAATGCCACAAAGCACAAGAGTAAACAAGCGGTAAACAACCATTGTATTAGCACTGTGGTCACCGAAGAGAACCAGACTGGGGTGTTGGTCTGTTGGGAAGAAAAGCACCTACCGAAGAGAACCATTCCCGGTACCCACCGCAAGAATATTAAGTAATTCCATGTAATGCATACTGGAGTACAAACTACCATCAAAGGCAGTGTTTAATATTCCACTTGATAATGGGTTGAAATGGAGAGTGTTTGCCTGATCTAGATTTGACTTTGACGCATTTGATGGAGGCCTTTTAAGATCCTTTGAGTGTGAGAATTCAGAAAAAACGGAAGCCAATTTCCCGGTTTGTCCATTCCAAACATGTACAGTCCCATCACAGGAAGCTACTCTACCGGAAGACGTCAATATACACATATCATTCACAACCTGGAAGAAGATGGAGAATAAAATGGAATTTTATGATGTGTATTTTTATCACTATTAAAAATTAGTTGTGCTGAATGTTAACAGCATAGGTCAGGTTCAAAGCAAACAACTACTCCCTCCGTCCCATTTTACGTGTCTGTCTTACTTTCCTTTTTGGGTTGTCCCAAAATAAGTGTCACCTTTCCCTTTTTGGAAAGAAATATGTGGTTCACAACATTTCACTTTACTATACTCAAATCTCAACCACAACTTTTACTTTTTTAACCACTTTATTAAAAATTGTGCCAAAACCAAAGGAGACGCATAAAATGGGACGGAGGTAGTATTAAAATAGAATCAACAACAGTAAAATAAATGAAGGGGCACCTCTTCATGGCCATAGTAGCCAGAAACAGGATCCACCCTCGAAAGCTCCCACTTCTGAACTGTTCCTTTGAAACCTGCAGCAACTCCTGCTGTGAAAATACTGCACTCATCTTGGCAAACTGCTATAGATCTTAGCGCACCATGATGTGCTCGAACAGAATGGAGAATTGATGCTCTGATTTTCCATGGAATTTCATCTTTTGGGCTTCCATGGCGGCCACTTAGATCGGGCCTCCAAGAGCTAGCCGTTGGACCAGGGAACCAATGCCAAGGTTCAAGAGTACCAAAATCAAAGCTCCTGGAATGCCTCTCTCTAAAGCTGTGATGATGATGAGACAAAATTTTGTTTGGAACCAAGTTTTTCACACTTCTATGCCCTTGTGATTGCGGTGTTGACCACCCAGCCCCATTAAGCAGAACTTTAGCTGGGGTGTAATCAGTTACATCACCAATAGTTGGTTGTCGCGCATATGTACTTTCTGCACAACTTCGAGCAGCCTCCAAGACGGATTCCCACTGAAGTATATGAATTCATAAGGCCACATGCATAAAGAAAAATAATACTTCGTAGAATTCATTACATGAAATATAATTATGTCTAATACTCTAATATGTGGTCAACAACTCAACAATGTCATGCTTTAGGAAGGTTTTGCTGCATATAAACCTATACCAATAATCCATACTTTTACACTTCAAGTATTTGCTATTTACAGAACAGATGATTCAAAAAGAGTGGACATTTGTTTGCAGAATGTCCAGATTACTTCAAAAGAAAATTTGGCAAGCAATAAAAGAGGTATTGGACGGACCCTGGGTTGGAACTGCTAGAACATTAGAAAGAGGTGTCATACAGAACCCCATCTCAGAACCATTGGAACCTTGGTCCAGAATGAGCAGTTCCACAAGTCAGCAATTGGTGGAGCTTCAAGTTCTGTTGTTCATCAGAACCCAGAAAAATAAACCACTTGCTTGGCAAATTAAGGAAATCCAATTGATTAGTTTGGTGGATAGTTACAAAAAAATGTCTCCACTTTATTCCATCTTGGACGTCTTAAAACTTTGAGGGTAACTTACACAATTACAATATTTGTTAATGCATGGTGATGGTGGCTAGAAGATAATGAAGACACAGACCCATGGAAGACCAAATTAGGTTGGTTTTGATTGGTTTTAATTATGACTTAATTAGATTGGTTTTGATTTCATGTCTTTCTTGAATTATGTGTGCCCTCTTCAAATACAGCTTCTGAATGTAATTGTTAAGCGCACAGGTGCACGATCTTGTCCAATGACGAAATCTAGAGAAAAGATGTGATGAACTGATATGAAGTCCCGAACCAACCCATGGGATTTGGATCAGCTATTAATAAGGAGAGAGGTTTTCAAACTACTCCTTTTATTGAATTAATCCGAGTCTTACCTACTCAAGACACAAAATAAATTCTCCAAAAGTTCAATAATCAACATTGAGGACACTTATACAGCTATTACAAGAGACTTCATCATAGTACGAAAAGTTGAACTGTAAGACTATTATAACAGGAAGCTTATTCTAAAATTTTTAGAAAATAATATTGCTAACTCTTTAGAGAAAAATTAACACAGAATAAATTTTAATTTTTTAAACGGGATAATTTTCCTCATAGGGTTACTCTTCCGGCATGCAGGGGCGGTTTTGGCAGGAGCAAGTTTCTCCATGACGGATGCAAAAGCCTTCATTCCCTTGGAGGACTGAAATAGGCTGCTGACGTTGCATTTCTCTGGGTGGGCTTATTTACTTTTATTAAATTTTAATAAAATAAAAGTAAAAAACACAACCAAGAAAAGATGAAACTCTAAACCAACATGTGTGGTGGCCTCTACTCCTCCAGTAAATATTCTTTCAGTTTTAAGGAAAAAACTAACAGCTTGTTTGGCGGAATAATGATGCTTGGCAGATTTAAACTGATCGGCACTCTGCATCGACCCCTTACTTCTCCTCATTTAGCCAGGTAGAGAAAAAATGAATTGGAGCACTTCGGCAGGAAGAAAGGGCCCTGACACCAAATGGTTTAAGTGCACGTGTACATGGGTCAAAAAATCTAAAGAACGGAAGATAGGAAGAACCAGTAGGAAATTTTGAACCAATCCGTGGGATTCAGATCAGCTATTAATGAGAAGAGAGGGAGATTTTTGAACTACTCTTAAATTTGAATTAATTGGTGCTGGACCTAGTTAAGACAAATTAACTCTCCAAAAAGTTAATTATTAATCCATACTGAGAACCCTTGTATTGCGATTAAAAGAGCCATAGTCCCAATTGTAAACATGGAATTGTAAGACTGTTATAAGTTAGTAATTAGTAATATTAATATTAGTTACACAGCTATAAGTTATAACTATGAAACTAATACTAATATTACTAAATATTAATAGGAAACTACTAATGAAGGAAAATATTCCCAACTATTAGAAATAATATGGTATCAGAGCTCTGCTCGATCTACCATGACGAACTCCGAGTCAAATTCTTCTTCTTCGCAATCATCTTCTCATGTTGCCAATCAAACCTCGCCTATCATCTTTCATCATCCTCTACCTGTTAAACTCGATTCAAACAATTTCCTATTCTGGCGACACCATGTCGAATCAGTAATTCGAGCTCATAAGCTTCTAAGATTCATAGAAATCCTCAAATACCAGATCGTTTTGCTGTTGATGAAAATGGAACAAAAACAGTTAACGAAGCATACAACACATGGGAGCAACAAGACCAGATGTTGTTTTCCTGGCTCTTAGCTTCGCTTTCTGAGTCACTTCATGCTCGTGTCATCTGCTGCAAGCACTCGCATGAGTTATGGAGTGAAATTCAGCAATTTTTCCGCTCCAGCATCATCGCGCGAGCTCGTCAGCTGAAATCGGAACTGTATAACACCGGAAAAGGTGATCGTTCTATTTCCGAATATTTGCTTCGTATTCAGACCATTGTGGATAACCTAACATCTGTCGGTGAGCCTATATCCACCAAGGATCACATCAATGTGATCCTTGAAGGTCTTCTCGAGGATTATGAATCACTTATTTCTTCTGTCACCTCGCGAAGTATTTTAGATCCAGTTACTTTATCTGAACTTGAAGGCCTTCTGTTGGCTAAGGAATTACGACTGAGAAAACTATGTGACTCCTCACAGCAAACACTATTTTCTGCTAATATTGCGCGAGTTGAAACTACTTCTCCTACTACTGAAGCTGAAACTCAGAATACTTCAGAGAATGCCTCAGCTCAAATTGCTCAGTTTGACACTTCTACAGACAATTCATCCTATAGAGGAAGAGGTCGTGGAGGTTTTAATAGAGGCAGAGGTGGGCGTTCAGGTGGTAGAAGCTCGGTAACTTGTCAAGTTTGTGGTAAAAATGGTCACAGTGCCATTGTGTGCTATCACAGATACAATCCAGCCTATACCATCTCCAGTCCTAATCCTTCTACTATGCATCAATCTCCTTTTCCTTACTCAAATCAGCCTTACCAACCTCAACAGTCTCCTTTTCCTTACTCAAATCAGCCTTACCAACCTCAACAGTCTCCTTTTCCTACACTACATTCATATCCAAATCAATACCAATATCAATCATCTCCTTCAACCACAACAAGATATTCACCCAATCCAACCCATCAATCACAGTTCAATTTGGTACAACCACCTTATACTCCATCACCTCACATCCTTCACAGTTCAGTTCATCATCAACTGTGCCAACTGCAGCCTGGGCTTCTGCAAATTCATCTATACTTGGACCAGTTCCAAATACACAAAACTGGTTCCCAGACTCTGGAGCAACACATCATGTCACAGCTGATCCCCTCAACTTTCAACACAGTGAGCCTATTGCTACTACTGATAAGCTTTTTATGGGCAATGGTCAAGGTTTGGAAATTAAGTCTATTGGTTTTTCATCCTTTCCCTCTCCTTATCATTCATCTCTTTCTTTATATCTAAATAACATCTTACATGTTCCTGCCATCACTAAAAATCTATTAAGTGTCAGCCAATTTGCCAAGGATAACAATGCATTTTTTGAATTTCATCCTCATGAGTGCTTTGTCAAATCCCAGGTTTCTAAACAAATTCTGTTATATGGAATCCTTGGTGAAGATGGTCTTTACAAGTTCCAGACATTTCCAGCTCTTGGGTCTCATCAGTCACCTGCAAAAGTGTCCAAGTCTTATTCACCTAATTCTGTGTGTCCTAGCTCTCTTATGTCTACTTGTAATAACTCTCAGTCAAACACCAATTGTAATATTTGGCATTTAAGACTAGGTCATCCTCATTTTGAGGCTCTTAAGTCTGTACTCAATCTTTGTAATCTGTCTCATCTAAATAAAAATGCTATGGACTTTTGTTCTGCTTGTTGCGTTGGTAAAGCTCACAGATTACCATCCAATCCTTCTACAACTGTATTTCATTCTCCTTTTGAATTGATTTACACTGACTTGTGGGGACCAGCTCCTATTCAATCATTTGATGGTTATTGTTACTATATATCCTTTATTGATGCCTTCACTAAGTATATTTGGATATATTTTCTCAAAAAGAAATCGGATGCCCTCTTAGCTTTTCAAAACTTCTATCAATACATCTTAAATCAATTCCACATTTCTATCAAATCCATACAATCTGATTGGGGAGGAGAATTCAGGTCATTCACTAATTTTCTGACTAATAAGGGTATCAATCATAGAGTTATATGTCCTCATACACATCATCAAAATGGTGTTGTAGAGAGGAAACATCGCACTATTGTTGAAAAAGGTCTATGTCTTTTAGCTCATTCCTCTCTACCATTCAAATTCTGGGACACTGCATTTGCTACTGCAGTACATCTTATCAACAAACTTCCATCTAAATCTATTGCCAATCTCAGCCCTCACTTCAAGCTTTATGGCACCCCTCCTGATTACATGTTTCTCAAAGTCTTTGGTTGCTCTTGCTATCCATTCATTAGACCTTACAACAAACATAAAATGGATTATCACTCTAAGGAATGTGTTTTTCTGGGATACTCATCTCATCATAAAGGCTACAAATGTCTTTCTCCCTGTGGCATAATTTATATTTCCAAGGATGTCATTTTTAATGAAACCAGATTTCCTTATCCCACTCTTTTTCCCTCTACATCCACTTCATCCACTAGTGTTCCAGTTTCCCTCTCAGCTCCAATAAAAATTCTTCCTTCTTCCTTATCATCACATCCTCAATCTGACAATGATGTCAATACTTCTTCCAATTCCTCTTCTTTACACACTTCTTCATCCACTACACCTCAGGATAATACTACCTCACATAATCATCATCAATCTTCTAATGACTCAACTTCTTCGAACCACCACAATAACACATCTGACAATTCTCACTCTCCATCATCCTCTGATTCCTCCTCTTCTACATCCCCAAGTCCTCCCCATAACTCTCATCCCATGCAAACCAGGTCAAAATCTGGGATTGTCAAGCCTAGACTTAATCCAACTTTACTGTTGGCCCATATAGAGCCCAAATCAGTTAAGCAAGCTCTTTCTTCTCCACCTTGGCTTGCAGCCATGCAATCTGAATATAATGCCTTTATCTAACAAAACTTGGTCTCTAGTCACTCTTCCTCCAGGCAAATAGGTCATTGGCTTCAAATGGGTATTCAGAGTAAAGGAAAATCCTGATGGTTCTGTGAATAAGTTCAAAGCCAGGTTAGTGGCAAAAGGGTTTCATCAGAGGTTTGGATTTGACTTTGGAGAAACATTTTCTTCAGTAGTCAAACCTGTCACAATCAGAATTTTGCTTACACGTGTTGTCTCTCACCAATGGTCTATACAGCAACTTGATGTAAATAATGCCTTCCTCAATGGGGACCTTGAGGAAGAGGTCTACATGTCACAACCTCCTGGTTTTCAGACCAAAGATACTTCCCTTGTCTGCAGACTACATAAATCTTTATATGGCCTCAAACAAGCTCCAAGGGCTTGGTTTCACAAGCTCCAAGAGTGATCCTTCTCTTCTTATATACCTCAAACCTGGCTCTGATACCATATTAGAAATAGAGCAAGGTAGAAGAAGAGAGTGAAATCATCATATTGAAAATAGAAAGTGTACAGAGTATTTATAGAAGCTATAGTTGTAACTAACTGCAGCTGATATAACAGAAGCCCAACTAATTCTAATTACAAAGTAATGTACGTGTAGCTTCTATGTATTATTCCTAACACCAACCCTACTAAGAATAGCCTAGGCAGACCGTAGATGTACAGAAGAAAGTATCATGATGCATGCGCAATTAAGAAAAGAAGAAACCTAAAAAAATTCTTTTCCATTTTTATTATTCTATTTTTTACTCTATTAAGAGATTTTTTTTTGTAAAATTTCTCTTCAAAGTAATTTTTTTTGTTGTTTTCTTTTTCTTTCCGTATTTTATTTCATTTCCCTTTTTATGTTTTTCTTCTTAATCATTCTCTTCTTATTAAAGATCTTGTTCTCACTTTACTTTTTGTTATGTTTTTTTATTTTCACTTTTCCACTTTTATATTTTCACTTTTAAAATAAGATCTTTAATAAGAAGATAATGATTAAGAAGAAAAACATAAAAGGGGAAATGAAATAAAAATACGGAAAGAAAAGAAACCGACAAAAAAGAGCTATTTTGAAGAGAAATTTTACAAAAAAAATCTCTCCTAATAGAGTGAGAAATAAAACTCCCTCCGGTCCCAAATCATATTCACACTTTCTATTTTTATTTGGTCCAAATTCATCTTCACACTTCCATTTTGGGAAAAAAATTTAGGTGAAATGTCTAAAGTACCTTTATTAAATTTACCTTGCCTCCCCCCTTACGCCCATATGATTCGCACCCCCCCCCCCCCCCCGCTTACCCCCATTTCCTTCGCACTGACCCCTTCATCTCTATCTTTCGCTCGAACCTTCCCTCTCTCCTCTCCGTCTTTCTGTCTTCCATTGCCTCCACCGCACCCGTCGTTCTACTAACCCCCATCCTTAGCCGCCGTTCTACTCACCTCCATAATCACAGTCCGTTCTACAAACCTCCATTATTGACATGGATCGGAAACCATCACCCCCAAAAAACCCTAGTCCATTGGTCGGACTTCCTAAATCGACAGATCTGATTGACGTTGAACCCTTAGAAGTTGAAGTTTCTAATGCAACTGCAAACCAAGAAGCAGTTCCCTGGAGACCGATCATAGTTCATTTTGGTTATGCATCCTCATCTGAGAGTGATCCGAGCTGGAGATTGTGGAAGAAATACGGATCTAATTTGGTCTCGGATACCTACGAAGGTTTGGACGGCCCGGATTCAGAAGATGGTGAGGAAGTGAACTCAGGACCGGTAGCGGATGAAGGAGGAGAGAGCGACGGCAGCGGTGGGGAAGACGACTGCAATGAACGGCTTCCTTAAGGGCAGTAACGTTCTAAACCCTTTGTCGTTATGTATTTAATGTTGTTTCGGTTTTGCATGTTATTGAGAGTGGCCGATTTGGATTGAAGTGTGACTGATGATGATTTTAGGGTTGTGAATTAATGATATGTGGATCAAATGTGTGTTACGAAACGAGATTCACCTATGATGTGTGTTTGCTTTATTAATGTGATGTACGGATGCTTAACAAATTCTGAGGTATTTGTGCCAAGGATATGTAACCCGTGATCATGATTAATTGTGTTTGCCTATGCTCATATACCGGTGATGAACCTGTGATTAATCTGAGGTGTATTACCCTAGGATTTGTAACCTTTGATCATGATTATGTTGGTTTGCCTATGGTGAGTTACCTATGATGATTGTGATTATATCTGAGGTGTGTTAGCCTAGGAAATGTGACATGTGATCATGATTATGTTGGTTTGCCTATGGTATGACTCACCCATGATGAAGTTAGATTAATTTGAGGTGTGGTAGCCTAGGAAATGTAACCTATGATCATGATTAAATGTGGTTTGCCTATGCTGATGTACCTATGATGCCTGTGTGAATAATGTGAAGCGTGGTGTTGCCTATGCAAAGTTAATAGTGACCATTAACAACTGTGTTTGCCTATGTTGATGTACCTATGATGCCTCTGTGAATAATGTGAAGTGTGGTGTTGCCTATGCAAAGTTAATAGTGACCATTAACAACTGTGTTTGCCTATGCTGATGTACCTATGATGCCTCTGTGAATAATGTGAAGTGTGGTGTTGCCTATGCAAAGTTAATAGTGACCATTAACAATTGTGTTTGCCTATGCTCATGTACCTATGATGCCTCTGTGAATAATGTGAAGTGTGGTGTTGCCTATGCAACGTTAATAGTGACCATTAACAACTGTGTTTGCCTATGCTCATGTACCTGTGATGTCTATGTGAATAATGTGAGGTGTGTACTTACTAAACATTGTACATTGTACACTGATCAACAACTGCCATATGCTTACATTCAATGTTGGTTTGGTTTCTAAAGTCCCAGCTGGTCTATTTTTGCTTGATCTCTTTGTTGTGTCTTGATATGTGAATGGAAAAATCCCTATTTTCCCATCCCACTCCACCTCCCCACTGTCACCAATTCTAGGCCTCCCTACTGCAGCCAGAAACATTATTTTGGGAATAAATTTTTTAGATTGAGTTGTTCTGTATGGATCATTTTCTGTGGGAAGGGTGTAAAAAGTAGTTGTCTCTTTTGACAAATAAAACCACTTTTCATCAATGTGAACACAGTCATAGAAATCATGAAATGTTGGACTTGTGTGTACTGATTGAGGATTGATTTGACTTAAGCAAAACTCTAACCTTTTCAATTTCCCTGCTTCTGTTAGAAGAGGCTTGATTGCGCTTGAATGTCTTCTTATCTGCTTTGTCTTAAACCACCTTTGCACCGTTGTTTTTGAGACTTCCATGGCAAATGCCAGTGATCTCTGATTTTTCCTCTGATGTACGGGAAGCTGGGCAATCTTTTGCACATCAAAACTAATTCTTTATCTCCCAACATTTCCCTTCAATCTGGGCTCCACTTGTATGGCATGTCCACTCTGCATATCTTGCTTTGCTTGACTCCATAATTTGTGAATGGTCGAAGTGGATACTTTAAATTGGGTGGCTAATGTTCTTATCACACCCCTCTGAAGTTTACCTTCAACTGAAACTGCCAGTAACCTCTCAATCAACGCCCTACGATTTTCAAAGCTGAACTTAGGCCTTTTTTGTTTAACTGTTCCACTGCTTTGTACCCCTACCCCTCCAGTGGGGTCCACTGTTAGATCTATTATTGGCTGAACACTGTTAATGTTGTCTTGTGCAGGTTCACCATCCGGATCTTCTTCTTCAAGGGGGTCCACAGCAGGTTGTTGGGCAGCATCATTTATAGAAGAAGACTCCATAAATGAAGAGCTTTAGAAGGAAGAAAATGGCAGAAGATTTCTAGGTTTAGAAGTAGTGTATTCAATGCTTTAGTATTTATAGATAAAATTGTGTAAGACTAAAGTAGAATTTTGGAGGGAATCCAAAAAGGAATCTTCCCTCCGTTTTGGCAGCCGAAATGTAACCTCTACTCTCTTTCCCTTTATGTCATTCAATTTCAGCTTTTCAATTACACTTCGTCCAATTTTTTTTACTTTGATTAGATGGGGGTAACTTCTTTGGGGGTATTTTGGGAAAGTCAACAAAAACAATTCCACTTTCTTAAAAACCAAAAAGTCAAACTGTGAATATGATTTTGGACCGGAGGGGATAATAAAAATTGAAAAGAAATAAGAACAAAATGATAAAAAAAGATTAAAAAAATGTCTAGGAATGAATATAAAGAAAGAAAAATTTTAGGGAGAAAAAAGAAAAAATGAAACTAGGGACTGTTTTGAGCAGATTTGTGAAAGGTGGGATTATTTATATAAGTTTTTCAAAGAAAGGGTAAAAAACCTGGTATAGTAGGTCATAAACAAGTCAGGGTACAACGAAAGAAGATGGGGTGAAAGGTGGGATTATTCTAGGATTACGTAAAGGTGGGAATATTTTGAGAAGACCAATGAAAGGTGGGATTATTCTTGTCAATTTTTCCAAAATTTAATATTATAGTTTCCTTTGCTTATTAAAAAAAATGACAATCCATTATAGTGTGTCATATTCTTTGTAATGGACTTACGGTAGGTCATAAGGTAAGGAAGTTTTCCCATAAATTGTATAGCTCATTGAGATATTTTTGTGTGTATTGGAATCTTACCCCTTACAGGTTGCTACGAACCTATGATTCTATCTGGTGGTGCTGATTGCTACAACAGGTGTTGTAGGGCTTCATCACTTCTTATTTTGCATTAGGAAAACAAAGCACAGGTAAATGAAAAATGAGAATGCGTACCTTCCAATTATAATTCCGTAAAAGAGACTGCTCTATTAGCAACCATGTAGTACAGCATTGGCGGAGTTTCTCAATACCCACAATAGAAGCAAAAGATGGATACAGAACCGACCTACAATGATTTAAGTTTATACACATCACATGTGACAGATATAACACTGTCAACAGAAGACCCATCACAAGACTCCAGCATGATAGATTTAATATCTACATTAAAGATATGCAATCAGAAAGGGAACTTACACAATGTCTAGGTAGATTCCCTTATTAGTGTCTTCTCCTTTTAGTTTTTCTCCCTCACTTTCAGAATAATATATCTTCTTCTGGGAGAAAGCAAGGTCATCAAATAACTCTTTGAGTGTTGGAAGGACATGAAATGCAGTTAAATGTGGTCCAATTTGTTGAGAAACTGCAATGAGGCTTCTTGATGTGACCTATCAACAAAAGAATTCTGGTGTTAAGTTCTAACTTTTATGCACTGTAACATTTAAGTGAGACTCAATTTGGAGAGCATAGGTGAAACTTTGAAATACCTCAAGCACCTGAGTACACATATTTCCCTGCAAGAGGACCTGAAGATATAGGCATTTCCCATCCTGCATAAGTTCCAACCAGTATTAGATGCTGCATAAGTTCCATTTTCTACTACGTATTCATTTACATTTATGAGTTTCATACTTCAATGAGCTCTTTAACAATCGTGTCCTTTCCCAAAAATGGAATAAGACCATCTAAAGTGGTGAGGCAATCCATTAGAGCTAAAGCACTCCAACTCTGGATTGGTTCAGGCTTATTCACATGTGAATTATCAATGCAACAATGGATGACGTTCCTTAGTAATGGAAGAATTTGTTTGACGATAAAATTTTCTCCACTAAGACAACCTGAAATATGAGAAGTGCACATTATCTTTTAAGTTGAAGAAGCATATGTCGTGAAGTGACATTACGTTAAATTGAAGCGGCAAATACCAATTCTAACCACAACGTCAGTTCCATTCTCACAAATTCCTTTGCCGAAACAGTTAATGAGAGGCATAATGGTCTGCAGGACCAACATGATTGTCATACAACTTGAAAATGAGAGTGAATTGTTGAATAATACGACTATTTGTTAATATGCAACTAAAAACTAACAACTCAATTATTTTTTCAACATGTTTTTATAAGGAAATAATGAGGGTAAAAGTATTGGCAGAAAATCCCAGGAATTATAAACACAGGGATACTTCTATGTTTATATATATTTCAGCTTAAGTCCCTCTACCTGGGGGGCAGATCAAATGGATTTCATAGACTTGCAGAAGAAAACGAAAATGAAACACTTGAACCTGATGAACTGTAATTGGTACGCCGAGCTCTTCACTAGAACTTATCAGTAGAGCTGAGGCAGATGCAGCAGAAGCCTTGTGGGGATTTCCGGACAAGTTTGATATTACTAAAGGATGTAACTTCTCCAAATATACTTGCTTCCCAATTCTGTCCCATATTTCCTGCACAAATGAACCTTGAAGAATAGAAATCTTCAAGTGCGAAGGACCGACAGCCTGCACAAAGAGAACAACTTAGTACAAGCAAAGTGTAAAATGATAAGAGATCTAAGTAGAGAGGATACATTAAGAAAAGTTCACAAGTAAACTAGCCTGTAGAATCTTCTGGATAGCAGGTATAAGTAACTTCTTTATTGCTATTGGGTCCAGACACCTCAAAAGTTCAGTGAGTATTATATAACCCCATTCAGCTCCTTCGTCTGTTAAAGGATTCAGCAGTAACTTCAAACAGTTGGGAGCACACATTTCAGAAGCAAAAGGCCCCATTTCTTTAAAGGATCCATGTATTGCGAAAGTTGATGCATAACACAGACGTGATTCATCTGTTGCTAGAAGCTGAAGGGGTGCAAGAAACATGTAGGAGGCCATGATAGTTGGGGGGAAATATGGAGATTCCAAAAGACACTTTGCAGAAGGTCTCCTGATTGCGTGAAGAGGTAGACACTCATTAAGACTCCATATATCCTTTATACACACTATTAAGCTTTTGGAACATGGAACCAATGAAGAAAAAATACCTCCTCCATTCCTTTTGAATACAAGCTTCAATAAATACACGAGTTTCAGGGGGGAGTTCCTGCATCAGCATAGGAAAGCAACCACTCTCCAAGTACGCACCCAATGAGGTTGGATCAAAGAGTGGTCTTCTCAGGTGCAGTTCTGCTAAGATGCATCCAACTGCAAATATGTCATCTGACGCGTCCTTGGTAGTATTTGAACAAGTAGATTTTTGTCTCCATAGCAGTAACTCTTGGTATCCCACAGATGTGTCATCACCAACTTCAATTTTCTTAAGAAGGTAATTGATATCAGTAATTTGAGGCATGATGAATTTGCTAGTATGGTCATCTGGCCTGGACTTCATGTATGATGCACTCTCAGTTGAGTGCTTCAGTACGGAGCAGTCAGTTTCTATAGCATCATTTAAATGTGGGTAATAGAGGGGGCTTAACACCCTTGCATGCTCACTGAATGAAGCCATATCCTCCAGTTCTTGCAAAAATGAAGCTCCTCCTGCCACATCACTTACAGGCTTCTCGCGCATATTTGAACCACATGTCAGGTCACAAGTTCGTATGTTATCAACAAGTCGGTGAGGATGTGGTCGGGAAAAAAGTTGGCGTCGCCCCATTGACCTTGGTATTGTGTGTGTTGATGCAGGTAACATCACATTCTTAGCTGCTACAGCAGCTGAGCCAGACATTTTGTAGCCAAAGGTAATATCAATCCAATTGTGAATTTGGCGTGAAACTCTATTACTTTCTAAAGCATTCCTGTGCAACTTGATGAAATTCTCAGGAGTACCTGCCCACGAAGGTACTGCCAAATCAGACATACCAGGATGAATGGAATGAAAGATTTGTGGATCACAGTAAAATTCTGGAATGCACTCATCAGGTGTCCATTGAAAAAGTCTTTGCATGTTTGAAGGATACTCATTTGGTTCATAAACTGAGCGAACAGCCATTCGCAGAACACGTAAAGGTAATCTCCTTGCCTTATAACTGCAGACAGCCAGTTCAGACAAGCACTCATCTGACACGTGGTGTGGGGTTTCAGATGTTGAATATGTGAAGTCCAACTGTTCGTCACCCTTTGCGAGCCGCCACTTACTCTTACTCAGATCTCGCCACCCAGCATCATTATTCTCATCTGGTTCTACACTGAAATCAAGTACCCATGGCATGACAGTATAAAATGCACGATCACCCCATCTTCTCCCAGCTAATCTGTTCAAGAGTAAGAGATACTCAAAGTTACTAAGTTCACCCTTCCACCATCTATAGAAGCTTGAATGCCAATCTTTATAATGGGAAAGCCTCAAATCAGCATGAAGTCCACGTGAAAAGCATAAGTCACGACAGCTATTTGAAATGGATGTGCATGTCTCAACTGTTGAGCTTGAAGAAGAATTTAAGAGAAATTCATCCGCGATTTGCAGCCAGCACCATGAAAAGTCAGACAACGATATGCAAGATGGAGAGAGATTGCCGTGGGCAACCCCTAAACCATGCATGTAAGAGAGTGCAGAAAGTAATTGGTAGATCAAAAAAAATTTATGCCAATCAGATTTGAAAGCGCCAGGGCTGTAATTTATGGCATTTTCCAAGGAATGACTAGTTTTTGGAAGCACTAAACTTATATGACTTGATGTCCTTAGTAGTCCCAAAACTGGTGACAAGTTGGGATGCCTTAGGCAACCAGGAAACGTACTCTCACTGAATGAAGGTATCCCAAGAAGACTAAGAAAGTTCACACAATCTCGTCCAGTAGCTTTACCGTCTATCAAACGAGTAAGAGAACACAAAATATGGTCTTCAAGAGACCCAGACAAGAAGTGGGAAACAATATCTTCAAACAATGTGTAGGAAGGAACACAAATGCGAGCACTTGGAACCAGGGCAGTGAGTATCCTGAAACAAGAAAACCTACCAGAAAATTTGCAGGGGAACTTTTCACACTCTAATCCATACAGGGATGTATTTCCGCAACCTTTCAACATACCCTGGATTTCATTTGATGTGTTATTATCTGATGAAGCTGATTTGTCAGCAGCAAGTCCAATTCTAACCTCTGCTTGATCTATATCTTTTTCTATGGGGATTGCATTGTGCTTGCCCAATTCAAGATCTTGCGGACAATGCTCATCACTGCCCAGACTCCAAAACATGACAGTAGGCAGTAGCTGAATTAATCTCATCAGTATGAAACTATGAATACAAGCAAATATCAAATTCTTCAGTATAAGCAAGTTGTACAAGCTTCTCTCTCAATTGACTTATAAGGATCACACATGCATTCACACATACATATATGTAGTTAGATGTTACACTTGAACCAATCTCAACAAATACTTGCAATTGGCTTATTATAAACATAGAGTTGAACTTATCTTGGATCAATCACATCATGAATGCAGATACTAGCAAATTCATTTCAAAAAGCATGTTTCATTAAGTGCTTAAGAGAAAAATATTAACATACATGAATTTGGCCAAGCAATTGCCGTTTTGGTACGGCACATATTTGACTACAAACTCAGGTGATGATTCTGTGCCTGAACTTGCGAGCTGCCACACGGTTAAACACTAGTAAGAAAAACAATACAGTAGATTGGTAGTAGACAAACTCTACATTGTATATTTGCGGGTGGTGGAGTACCCTAACGACGGCACCGGACCCAAAGGGTAGATGCGAATCGGAGAGGCCATAGCAAAAGATGAGCTGCTCCGATAGGTCCTCTCTGATTTGCTTCTGCAGACAATCGAAACACATTGGCGTTCCCATTAGCTCCGTCTGTTCGCAACGGAGGAAAGTGTCTCCAGTTCTCCAGGTTTCTTTGCTGCTTGTGGGCGAGTAGTATATGGCATAGCCCCCAGAAACTCTGTAAACAGTAGTATAATTCGATTGATTGCGATCAGGAGATTTGCCGAAGGGAGTTCAGCATTTTGTCGTCACTTTTTAGGTTGTTTATACCAAAAAAAAAAAAAAAAAACCGGACCAAACCAGACTAAAACAGATCAGACCAGACCAAAACAGATCAGACAAGATAGACCAAAACAGATCAGACAAGATAGACCAAAACAGACCAGACCAGACCAAAACAGACCAGACCAGACCAGACCAGACCAGACCTGACCAGAACAAAACAGATCAGACCAGACCAGACCAAAACAGACCAGACCAGACCAAAACAGACCAGACCAGGCCAAAACAGACCAAAATAGACCAGACCAGACCAAACCAAACCAGACTAAAAACAGACCAGACCAGATTGTACCATATTTTATTATTATTATTATTATTATTATTATTATTATTATAATCATCATCGTCGTCGTCATCATCATCATAATCATCATTGTTATTATTAGTATTATTACTATTATTACTATTATTACTTTTAATTATAAATGAATAAAATATAATTTTTTATGGATTATAATATCTATAAAAACAAAATCTTTATGCAAAAAAGAAAAAAATAAAATTTCAGACCAGACCAGACCATATATTATTATTATTATCATCATCATCATCGTCGTCGTCATCGTCATCGTCGTCATCGTCGTCGTCATCATCATCAGCATCATCATCGTTATTGTTATTATTATTAGTATTGTTAGTATTATTACTATTATTATTTTTAATTATAAATGAATAAAATATAATTATTTATGGATTATAATATATATAAAAAATAAAAAATTGTATGCAAAAAATATAAAACATAAAATTTCAGACCAGACCAAACCAAAACAAATCAGACCAGACTAAAACAGACCAGACCAGACCTGCAAATTACAGTCCAAGTAAAAACATGCTTAGTTTTTGGAATTCCTCCGTCCCTGAATTTACTTCTGTGGTATAAATGGCACAAGGATTATGAAATTGGGTTTTGTGATTTGGAGAGTTGCGAAAAGGAGAGAGAAATGTGTAAGAATTGCTGTGAACCACAAATTCTTTATCAAAAGGGGAGAGAGAAGTTTTTTTTTAACAGACGAAAAGGGAAAGTTGGAAGTATTTTCAGGGACGGAGGGAGTATACACTTTTGTATTCATACATGTTTGTAAAAGTTTTTTTTGTTTATGAACATCGATTCACAAACAATAATTTGCACAAACAAAATATTGTCTCTGAACCGGGTTCACAGCCAAAAAAAGCTTCACAAACATGGTGGTAGGCCTGTCAATGAGTCGGGTCCAGACCCAAACCCGACCCGGATCCGTCTTTTTTTAATGGGTATGGGTGTACATTTAATCCTGTTACCCGGACCCGGATCCGGACCCGTTATTTAACGGGTAAGGTATGGTATATGTAGTTCCGACCCGTTTAGGACCCGACCCGTTAATATTTATTTTTATATATACATATTACATTAGCTGTCGCCCACATTATAATTTAGTTTAATAAATCCGAAGAAGGATCCCTAGAGAGTCTAAAGTTTGTGGACCGCAGAGGGTTCAAGAAAAAGGCTGTTCAGTTTCCAAAGCCATTAATTTTACTCTTTATTCTAACACTACGTATCTTGCAAATTATAAAGGGTGAATTCCTTAAATAGGAGTAAAATAGATTTGAAATTCCAAAATATGAGTACCATGTTTTTTATTCCTTGAATAGGAGTAAATTTTTGCCAAATTTGGCATTACTAGGTTTTAAAACATGTTATTTTTTTCCAAACTTGGCAGATTATTCCTATTCAGGGAATAAAAAACATGATAGTTCTATTTTGGAATTTCAAAACGTTTTTGCTCCTATTTAGAGCAATTTCTAAATTATAAACCAACTCACAATTGTTGTGTTTCGTTGAGTAATTACAGACAAGTAATTACAGTTCATGTGCCATATTGTTGCCAGAAAAGTACTCAGTAGTAAGAGGTCCTGTTTTTTATTTAAGAAATTAGAATTGGATTTTCGTGAGACGGGTCGGGTCTACCCGACCCGGTTCCGAGACCCAATGGGTATGAGTCCGGAACATTAGTTCTAGACCCGCCGGGTATATGGGTCGGGTCTGGAACCCTATGGAGGCTAACGGGTTCGGGTCTGGGATACTACGTTCTGGCCCGTACCCGACCCGTTGACAGGTCTACATGGTGGGTATTAGGGCTGCACAAGAATAACCCGAACCCGCATAACCCGCCCGACCCGACCCTACTCGACCCTATTTAATCGGATATTTGATTTAAAAATATATTCATGGGTTAAATATGTACAAACTCGCACATAATGGGTAGGGTTGCGGAATTGAAATCTCGAACCCTAATAGTAACCGACCTGACCGAATGTTCATTTTGCTATTATTATTCTACAATGTTTTCTTGGATAATTTCAATTAAAAACCAATGTGCTCTATCTATAACTTTATGATATTAGAATTAGAATTTAACATTTACCATTTTGACTAGGTGATTATTATATATTTATATTTGCTTCTAAGTGAATTTCCTTTATTTAAGAAAGTTTTAATACTATTACCCAATGTTTTTGCTTATAAAAGATACTTGTATTTGTTTATGTGTTTTGGAAACAAGTTAATCGCGTTTCCAATTGGTTACATTGGTTTCTCACATTAAAGATGCAACCCAAAGTATTTTTTTTCAATACCCTGCCTTACCCGACCCGTTCATGTATGGTTTACCAACTTATATTGCATATCACGGGTTGAATAATAGCCAACCCGAACAAATTTGGGTAGGCCCAAAAAATATAGCAAACCCGATCCAACCTGCCCGATGTGCAACCCTAGTGGGTATAAGGTGGGTATAAGGGTGGGTAATTATATTTCCCACCCTAGTGCTAATTAATTGCCCCGATTCGCAGTTCCCCAAGAAAACTAGGGAGGGATTAATTAATTAAATTAGGGGTATTGAGGGTAGAAAACTAATAGTTAGTCCTGTTTATGAAAATTTTAGATTTTAGTTTTATTTGTGCAATTATATTTCCATTTGATCCAATTTAGGGTAATTACTATTTCCTTCTAATTCTCTCTATCAAGTAATGAAAGTCCTATGGTATAGTGCATGTGTAAACGCCCATTTTAATCTATATCGCATAATTCTTTTTTGTTTTTGTCAGATGAATAGTTTGTCAGCTACAAATTCATCTTAACCAATGATAAAATTATCTAATTCCCAGACTCAAGGGCTCTCATGCCTCGACCCGACAAGGTCATAGGAGGTTGTAAATCATGATTATTTAGTCAGACGCATAGCGAGACCTTGTGCCCGTGCCACCATAGATCTAACCTAGCACAAGGGGATTGCAATTTCCACACGATCTTTACGGAGTTCTACATTGGTCATTTCTCCAACATTCTCACCACTTGACCAACTCATTAGCTACATGTGCGGGTACTGTGTAACCGCTTTGTCAAATACGTAGTAATACTATGTGATTAATGGGTAGTATTACGTAATGATGGAGGACATAGTGTTGGCTATATAAATAATGATTTTTAAGGGTTCACTTTGCACATATGTTTTGAACAGTGTTCAACTTTGCACCATCTTATCATAAAACCATTTGACTTTGTATTTCATTTATTTATAAATTATTGGATCTATTTTATACTCATTCCGTCCCATAAAACCTAGCTAATTTGACATTTCTTGGTCAATGTTAATAAACTTTGGACAATAATTTTTAATAAAAAACATCTTCATATAATGTTCATAATTTAAGTAATTTCATACTATAAAATATCACCGGTCAAACTTGACCACCATTGATTAAGAAAATTGAATATAGTCAAGTTTTGTGAAACGGAGGAGGGAATATGTAGTTTTTCGTTCGAGTATTGAGCATTCCTTTCTTTCTGATTCTAGAGCAAGCTAACTTTTACTTGTGTGGGTATTGACCTTAGCTCTACTTTGACAACAAATTTTTTGTAGTTCGCATTATAGTAGCCTATGTTCTATGAGAACTAGTAAACTCACCCGTGCGATGCACGGTCAGCGAGTTTTTCTTTCAAATTTATTTGTGTTCACCAATTCAAATTACACTATCAATTAATGACAACATCTGTCTCCATGAAATACTGATATAGATCAAAACAATGAACGAAACACACTTATAATATTATGGTTAAAAGAGAGCACTAATCATTACTTAAAAGATAAAAAACATCCAACAAATACGTAGAAACCATAACAGTGTTAATATGCATTTCATGTAAACCTGAACATTGTTGAACCCTTTTTGAATACAACATTCTAAGTCTTGTCAGTGGTTCCTTCATCTTCGTCAACAATTAGAATTTTCAAACCACAACTATTGATAACCCTTCATACTGCAACATACAACTGTTCAAGTGTAAATACCGGTTTTTTCAAGAACAACCCAACACACGACAAAGATTGACCTTGACTTTAATTTATAGTCATAGCATATGAAGTCATAACAGGATATTGTCGCCTTTGAAATTTGAAAAGCAAGCTGGCATCGGATGTGGTCAAGGACAATCTAGGAATTAATACTTTTTGTCTAGCACTGATCCCAAATAAAATCTTCCCCTCCAAAACATGATCACCGAGCCTCGTTAGAATAAGTTGAGTCCCATTACCCAACCCCATTGAATGATCTATATTTCACAAAAGCATCATTGGGCTCCCTACCTTTAACGTTAACTCATGATTCAGTACATCGGATAATTTTATACCATTCAAGAACTCCGATGTGTGCAGTTCCGCCATTAAATCGGCCGTAGAATCAACCTTTGAAACACTGTCAAAACTCAGAGTGTCATCATATAGTCAAAATGGCATGGTCGCGCAAACAACTCATATCACCTGCAGATTCAACATATTCCAGAAATATGCTTTCAACAATTGCAGCTATAGGATCTCCATTTGTGTGTATCAATATATCTTCAGGAATAGTGATACAAAATATCATTGGTATAAAGAATAAACTCGTAATTCTAAATGAAT